TTTTTCCATTTAATCCAGCAAGCTAAAAAGTCCTTAATAAAATCCCAGATTGACTGGCCTAAGAACACATAGGATCTTCAATCTTTCTTTCAAGATACATACATATATCTCAAAATATATACATTTTGAGAGGAGATTTGTGCATAAAAAATAAGCCATGATCTATTGTTGATCCTGCTGGCAAATAGTATGGTTTAATAATTTAACTTCTATTTAAAAACTAGCACTTCATCAAACCTTAATTGAGCTCAGTCAGCCATTAGCTATGGTTCTTATTGACTACAAAAGAAATGGTGATTGATTGTCCTGACATAATTAATCGTTATTGTATTTTTCAGGAATTTAGGCTCATTTGCCCTGGCTACTCTTTCCATAATGTTTGGAAGATTTAACTAATACTCCTATCAATATTTTAAATAGGCTCAAGATCCTGGGAATTACAGAGTAATCGTTTTCATGGCTCAGTGGCCTCAGGGAGATGAAATTATATTGAAAATTTTAATAGAGAAGACATTTGATTTGTAAAGCTCTCTATACCTTCCTAATACAATTTTGGGAAGATTTTACACTGAAACTGTGAAATTTATGCTGCTCATTTCTCAGCACTGAGGTGGAGCAGGGCTGGTACAGGTATTGTCTACTCCATCTCCCCACACTTAACTGTCTAATTCCCTTTATAAACTCTTAAAGAAACATTTTTCATTTTTATGCATATATAAACTTATTCAATTAATTTCTTCTGATGAGATAAATAGGAAATGACAGATGTGACTTTTCCAGATGTGGCATCTGGAAAAATAATCTTTTAACTGGATTTTAAAGGCAATTGATGCTGTCCGATGCTGTCCCACCTCGTGATCTCATGTCCTACATCTATCAACACTTCCTTGGGTTTAGAGCCTGAGAGAAGGGGCTCAAAACATGGAAGGTGGAGGCCTGGAAGAGAGGAAGTGAGAAAGACCAAATGACAGAGCAGAATCACATAAAGCTCACCTCCTTAGAAAGTCAGTGCTTATAGAAGAAAAAAACATAGTATCATAACATAGTATTTTATTTAAGTGCCTGGGTTTTAATTTTAGGAACAGATTGCCTACACAAGTCCAGGTAAAGGAACTCTGGCTCAGCTGAGTTGACCCCAGAACCCAACCTGTTCCTCCCCATGTCTGTAAAAGCTGGGAAAGAGAAAGGATGGCCCGAAACCATTACCTACCAAGCTCTTTGTGCAGGTATTCTGGAGTAACTGGTGAACCTACACTTAAGTGGCTTGCCCCACTCCAAACAAACTGTGTTTTGGAAGCAGTTCCGTGGCATCTTCAAACACTCCTGCATTTTCTTCATTTTTATTCACCTGAAAATAGCCCCACAATGTTTCTGATTGACCAAATTCATGCTTTCAGGCAAAGTTAGCTGGAAAGTAAGTCATCGAGCACAAATAAGAAGCACTTATTTTTATACCGCTTGCAAGGTCCGCTGTAAAAACTTGCCAACTTGACCTTCAAAAAACTGATCAACAGCGGGTCAGAGAAGCTGTGCCCAGGAAGCCTCAGCAAAGCAGCGTCTCGGGTGAGGGAAAACACACCATTCATTGAATAGTTATGCCATTAGCAAATTATTATTACCAGGGACAGTGTGTTAGGGATTCAGAGGTATTAGATGTGTGATTTTTAATTACTGAACTGATTTACTCGGAGAGTAGCGTGACCGCCAGGAGAACATCTATCTGCTGTTACGCTGACATCGCTAGGCAGCAGACAGATTCTGTTTTTCAGAATGAAATTGAAGAAAGGAAATTGCACTTGGCAATGTGTAATTGGGAGATGACGACAGGCACCTGAGAAGGGTCGAAAGCTTTGAGACAGGGGAGAGGCGAGGAGCAGCTAAAGGGCAGAGCGGAGGAATGAGCTCAGAGGGGCAAGCGCAGGCACAGCTGCGTGTGGCTGTCAGGGAAAGGAAATGGAAACTAAAGCCCCAGCAGAAATGTCCCGGGATGTCCCGTTTCATCACCGTGACACCTATCCATCTCTCCCTCTATAAAAAGAAAGGTGCGCTTCCGCGTAGATCCCCTCCATTCTCAGCTGAAAGAGGAGGGCCTGGGGCCAGCTGCTGCTCTCACTCAGCCCTCCTGCACTCGGCCAGGAAGGAAGCCATTGTGCCAGCCTTGTGTTTTGTCACGCTTAGAGCACGGAGTCCATCCATGACCTCTTGGGTCACAACAACCCCCTGCAGCGCTACAGGCTGGGGGCAGAGTGGCTGGAGCTGCCTGGCAGAAAAGGACCTGGGGGTGTTGGTCGACTGTTGGCTGAACATGAGCCAGCAGTGTGCCCAGGTGGCCAAGAAGGCCAACAGCATCCTGGCCTGTATCAGGAACAGTGTGGTGAGTAGGGCCCAAGAGGTGATTGTCCCCCTGTACTCGGCACTGGTGAGGCCTCACCTTGAGTGCTGTGTCCAGTTTTGGGCCCCCTACCATAAAAAAGACATTGAGGTGCTAGAGCAGGTCCAGAGAGAGGCAACGAAGCTGGTGAGGGGTCTGGAGAGTAAGTCTTATGAGGAGAGGCTGAGGGAGCTGGGGTTATTCAGCCTGGAGAAGAGGAGGCTGAGGGGAGACCTTATTGCTCTCTACAACTACCTGAAAGGAGGCTGTAGAGAGATGGGGGTCGGTCTCTTTTCTCAAGTCACAGGCGACAGGACAAGAGGAAATGGCCTCAAGTTACGCCAGGGGAGGTTCAGGCTGGATATTAGGAAAAATTTTTTCACTGAAAGGGTTATCAGCCATTGGAATGGGCTGCCCAGGGAGGTGGTTGAGGCACCTGGAGGTGTTCAAAAGACGGGTTGATGTAGTGCTGGGAGGTATGGTTTAGTGATGGTGTTGCTTTTTGTTTGTTGTGCGAGTGTCTATTTTTGTCAGTTAGGTTGACGGTTGGACAAGATGATCTTTAAGGTCCCTTCCAACCTAGAAGATTCTGTGATTCTTCCTGCCATTATGTGGCTGGGGACAATCCAGGCCGTGGCTCTGTTGACATAGGTTATTTTATTTCCTTAAAGTATGCTTATAAGTATGATCAGAACTGCAGTTATATGATTAGAAAATAGCCTGTAATAGCTCCAGAGGAAATGGTACTAGTTAAATCCGCAACCAGCTGGGGCTAACGCCACACTCCCACATCTGCTTCCAGGACAGGGGCAGATTTTAATCTAAACACAAACTTTCAGTGGCTTGAATGGCAGTGTTATTAAATAATTTTCTTTCCCACTTGTTGCCATGCCCACTGTTCCAATAGTCTAATATTGTAGTATTCTAACACTTGAATATTCTAATATTAACAGGAAGTGAGGGAGGGAGCTACTCATTCTGCCATCATCATAATTTTTGCCCGTGTAGATTGTCACTCCATCCCAATGAAACCTCTTTAAACAAACTAGATTTTGTGTTTCAGACAAGACATCTATAGAGCCCTGCTCCATAAACCATCTGGGCAAGGACTATTATAGATTTGCTTCTAGGGATTTGCTTCAGGACTTTTAATTTAAATTCTTTCCTGTCGATCACCACCTATTTTTTTTTTTTTTTTTCAAATTTTAATGAATTTAGTTATGGGAGTTAAAAGTTATTACAATTTCAAAGTTTTTATCATCAGGTATTCAGTGTCACTGGCATGAATAGATTGATTATACATGACAAATACTAAAATATACATTGTGGTAAGAAGTTCACCTATTTACCAAACTCTTGTTAAAATTATTAAACTTCCCTAAGTGCATCTCCCAAGTTAAGGCTTACAATGCAACCACTTTTTTTCACATTCTTTGACTTCTTATTCACACAAATCCAACATACAGGCAGGAGATGAACTAAAGGAAGCCAACATTTTGTGAAGTCTTCCTGCTAGAAACAATTCTGGAGAGTTCATAGTGTCAGTACACCATCAAACCCAGTCTCCTGGTAGACTACAGAGTGCCATCCCCAGTGGTGTCCCTGCCTTTACCTCATTAGCTATTTTTCCTGATAGAGTCTCTCATTTACGCCACAGCTTTGATTATTAGAACCAACCATTTCAGGCTTCAATGCTAACAGATGTGTAAGCACCTGGAATTCATTGTGTGTTAAAACCACCACTTCTGTCTGACCTTTAAGGATTCTGGACTATCCATAAAAATGCCTCTCCCGTGTACGATGGCTTCAGGACAATCGGATCCCAACCACGAGAGGATTGCCTTCATCAACTGACTTAGGTTCCTATGCACTATATTTTTCCTTCTGTATAAGCTGTTGATTGTAGCTACTCTCACATCATGTCCTGTGTTAAGCCCCAGCCTGGTAGCTCACTGACCCACAAGACAGTAGTTGATGACTGCCTGCAGAATTGCCCTGGCCTGGCAGGGAGTCAGCTCAAACGAGTGTGTTTATCTGGGTTGGCGTTAGAGAGGTTCAGTATATACTACTAAGGAAAAATGTGTTTGTTTTACTGCCGCTTACCTTGGGGGGAAAAAAAAAAAAAGGGCAGTACTGTATATTCTGTTTTAACGACTGTTGTTACTATGGATGCAAATGTAAATCTATTTTTACATTTAATATGCCACACGCCAGCAAGATCTAGCGGAAGATCCCTGTAAATGTAAACACCTACATGCACAGTGACCTACTTACAAGTTACATGTGGCCTTGCACGTAGCCATATAAAGTGTGTTTAAAAGCTGTATTCAAAGCCTGTCATTTAAAACAATTTTCAGGCAGCGTGTGGCAGACTGAATACAAGCGATGCTTGGTAGTCGTTCATCCAAATTTTATTTAGTTTTAACATACAGAGTTTTCTTCTAAATTACAACGGCTTACACTGTGCCAAGGACTTGCCATTGTATTGGTTTCATTGGGGATTTTGGTTTGGACTTGATGTTATGAGTACCAGCCCACAATTGGAGTGGGTAACATCTAAAATTCAGTGTCGTGATGTTCAAGGATTTCCATTGATTCCCAGACACAGAAAAAAATTGAAGGACTTGTATACATTGAATGCATTCTGTTTATTTGAGAAGGAAGATCTCATACGAGTGCCCATTATGGAAGGCATCTCTTATCATGTACAATAAAATCAACCATTGCTTCCAGCAGAATACAAAAATACACATCTCAGTGACTTCCATACAATAATAAATATGTAATCATGCATCCAACAATAAAAAGGCACAGAAAACTGGTCACTTAGTAGTCATAAAAATTACTAACTATATTAACAAAGCCACCCAAATTATCTGTACAAGGAAATGTAACAATATATTCCAAAGGTGAAAACACATAAAACATCTTTAAAATAGTATATGCAATAAATACCTCAATTGTTTTTTTTTTATATATTAAAAATAAAACTGTGCCATTGTAAACAGTATGTAAACAAACAAAATTCACTGTTCCTTACCGTTATTACAAGTAAATAAAACTTGCTCTGTTAGATATACTTCATTGGCAAGTTTTTTCAGGCAGTTTAAAGTTTTACTCTTTTCTGCAGCAAACAGAGCCCGCTATGTGTGTAATTGTTAAGTACTAGAGCGATCGCTGAGCTTCAGAACTGACTGCCCAGAATGTCGTCAGATAGTCAGAACTGAAACTAGGAAAAGCCATTTTTGCAGTGTTACGGACAAAAGTTATTTATTTATACTACATATAATAGTGTCAGTAAAACTTAGCCGCTTACATACCACTGCTCACCTATAGGTTTTTTGGCGGGGATGTGGGGATGGGGCTGTACAAAGGTGGGCAAGCGTCCTGGCTCCCACCGGCGGAGAAGGTGAGGCACACAAAGGTGAACTGAGTTGCCCCCAAGGCTTGCACCAGCTCCGCGGCAGGAACCTGAAGGCAGAATGCAGACCTCCGGCCACTTCCTCCTCGTTTCCTCACCACCTCCTCTACTCCTCCCGGCCTTTCGGACAAATAACAGTGAGGCCTGAACTCCAGACCCGATTAGAATTACAGAAAGAGAAGGAACATGTGAAAGGAAAACTGTCCGCTCACTCAGGTGCCCATCTGCTCCCACTGATAACCATGGAAGTTGGCCACTGACCACAGCAGGAGCACAAGAGGAGCTTCTTTTCCCCCCAAATCTGTAATTGGATCCACATTAGCCAACCAGTGAGGCCAGGCAGAGCCCTGCGTATCCTCCACAAGCCTACTGATTGCCTCAACCATTTCTTCTTTTGAGGTCCATTTCTATAGCCAACAAACTCCTGGGAAGTTCAACCAAGGCGCATACTTCCTTCCTTATTAACAAGGGCAGGAGTAGGAATCTGGATAGGATCCTTTCTTAAACAAAATTACAGGAAAAGATCCCCGGGAGTGGTGGGCATTTGCACAGATGTCTTCAGAAGGAGCCTCACGGGGGAATACGCCTGGCTGGCTGTTTCTTCAGCTTTTGGGTAACGTTGGCATGAACTACCTCAGTTTACAAATCCTACTGCATGATGACTATCTACGGTGAATACAAACTTACCTGTTCCAGACACGTATATATTTCAAAGTGCATGATAGCTCGTTTGAAAATTGTATTTTTAGCCTTAGATGAAGAAATTAAGATGCATCTATTTAGCTGTTTCACAGCCTTATGTTTTTTTACAGGAAGAATATACTTAGAGCATACGCAGTAAAAAGATACCCTGGAAAGGGGTTTAGGAAGCGCTGCATTAGGGTATTTTTCCTCCCTGGTGCTATCAAAAAACTCATCCTTCTGTCTCTAAACAAGTGATTTCTCTGTCAAAGAGTTGTCTGATTTACCTTACCGCTTAATATTTTCATAATGTTATTAATCTATGAAATACTAAGAGAATAATTCTACCGACTGGCTCTGAAGATACCTCCATGTCTTGATGAGAAGTTTAAAGCCATATACTATATAACTTCTTTTTTTTTTTTTCAGACAAGGTACTTTTGGATACGGTACTTCAAGTGTTTCATTCCAGATCTGCAGAGCCAGGTGAGCTGTATGAAGTCAGTAGGGAATACAAAATAGATGGGACTGCTTTTTACTCATCAGTAAATAATTACTTATTTTCACCTGCCACGCTGAGTGCCCTCTATGTGGAGAGAGGTATGAAAGGTGATCGGTCTATAGAAGATTCTGTATTAAATCTTACAAAAAGTTGCTTTAGAAGGTATTTTCTTAGACATAGTCAAGGACCAGACCAATGAAAAAATTCTGTACATTCTCTGAGGCATATATTCCCACCTGTGTTGTAGTTTGCAGGTTCCGTAGAAAAATCCAAATAGCAACTGCAGATTTCACATTGGGAAAAAAAATAAATACATTTCACTCACTTTAAAAAAATTATCACAGTAGGAAAATAGCCAGTAAACAATAGATTCAGGGGGGTTTAATCTTGGCCCTAGTGAGATCAATGGGAGTTTAGCCAAGGATTTCAACAAAGCCAAAATTTCACCCAGAATCATATACAATTCTTTAGCTGACAACAATCATAAACATCCTGCCATTCCATTGTATAAGTTAAATATTAATAAGCATCTGTAAACATCCTGCAATTCATCTGATATAAAAAATATTATAATAAAAACAATGCAGCATCTCAAGCATTGTATAGTTATAAGTTTTTTTGGCTCTACACACAAGTTGGCGTCGTTATATTGGGCAAAACAGGGTATGTATATACAAATATATGTACAGGTGCGCACGCGCATACGCACTACAAACTAGATACTACATATACACACACACATGCACACCAAATACTGGCAAGAGAACAACATTCATAGGTATGGCATCTGGAAGTCCACCGATGATCCATCTGCTAACTTCTATGTGAGGAGCAATTTCTACCTACCCAAATCCTCCATAGGCTTACACAGAAAGGCTACAACTGAAATACATGAGCAATCTCCAAGGGGGAACTAAAGTGCTGCTTAAAGCTCAGCACATGCCTAAGTCCCAACAGATCTGTCTGTTTGCAAAGGTGATGGATTCTCCTGTGGAGCCAACAGGGGAAACGAAGGGCAGAATCTACTGAGCGTGCAGCAATTTTTACCTAAATCAGTAGAAATCATGTTTGATGTTTTCATTTTCTATTGAATATGTTTTTGAATTGAGCTTTTCGCTACAAAGCGCTATTCAGACCCGAATACATGAGTTATGCAGAAAAGCAGACAGTGTTGCATCTCTGCAACACTTCCATGTGCACGTTATGCATCTGTTCATGCAAGTGAGTGGATGTTACTGCAGAATAAATTAACAGCTGTACTTGACTGGAATACTAGTTTAAGTGACAAACCTGGCTAATGAGAGAAATCACCTGTGTTGGGCTGGGAACCTCTTGGGACCTTTAAAATACCTTTATATTAAATTTGCTTTTTTAAATGCTAGAACACACCCTGCAAGTACATCCATGCAATTCCACGGTGCTCAACATTTAAAGACACCTGCTCTGGGCGTACAGTTGTGACAGTGAGAAGTTTTGCTAGAACTAACTGATATGTTTGCTGTCATCATGAATCAAGACAGGAAGCTGCCAGTATTAGAGGTCATTAATTAGTATTAGAGGTCATTAGAGGTTGCCCAGAGAAGCTGTGGATGCTCAGGTCTCGGAGGTGCTCAAGACCAGGCTGGATGGGGCTTGGAGCAACCTGCTCTAGTGGGAGGTGTCCCTGCCCATGGCAGGGGAGTTGGAACTAGATGATCTTTAAGGTCCCTTCCAACCCAAACCATTCTATGATTAAATAATTTGGGTGTGACGACAGTGGCAAAGAAGATGTGTTGCAGAGATCAGGCCCTCTCAGAAGCTACTCAATTGTTTGCACTCTTTTATGCACAAATCCCATCCTTTTCACATCTCATCTGCTGTATTATCTTGCCCTTTGATGATTTCTTCAACATACAAGCTTCAGCAAACTAAATTACTAGGTATCTGGCAGCTCTAGGGAGGTCCCATGTTTCAGCTATTTTAGGATTCAAAGGGCATGATGTAAGAGAGTGGAAAATGAAACAAATTATTTCAGGACAGGTTCACAGGCTGTGCTTATTAAGGGGAAAAATGGCAATTTTTGTCATATATGGATAACTGCATTGTTCAAAGTGCATGTTTTAAGGAGATGGAAATCCAAGACAGAAAAAATAGGCACCACAAGTGACAGACACCTGCAGAAAATCCTCCGAAATCTGGCAAAGTGGTACAGTCCAAATGCCTGTTTCAATACAGAGAAGGCTTCTTGTGAGAGGACAGGGCCACTAGGAACCTTCCCAGTGAGTACCGCACGCCTGTGTGCTTGTTGTAAACATTCACAAACTGTCCCAGTAAGAAATCTTATATTCTTAAAATTCTCATGAAGAGCTCCCAGGCCCTACTTGTCAGCAAACGTGCTCTCCCTCCCTGAAAAGCGAGACCAAGCAGGTCCACAGGGCTGTCCTCAACCTCCCCATCCATGTCATAACTGACTGTAACTGCAAGGAGAATGAGTCACAAACAGAGCTCACTTCATCTAACATGGGGAGAAAAACAGTCATATCTGTAACTCTTTCCCTGCTAATGACATTGTCAGGTTAGTAATTAAACTAAAAAAGTTTTCTACCTGATTAATACTTTAGTTTAATAAAAGTAGGACTTAAAACACTAACTCCCTTTATATATTCATAGCAGGGATTTGGGGCACTGTAAGGATTAAATTTTTGGCTTCTCACACGGTTTCCATCATGAAAACAAACTGCCCAATTTTACTTTTAGTTCATTTCTTCCTGGTTTCATCTTCCAGTTCACATGCTCTAGTATAACATAGCTACACCTCATTCAAAAACAGCTTCCTAAAAGAATTGTTTCCAATGCAATTGGAAAAAAATAAATTTCAAATTAGTTTAAACTTTGTACATATTGCTTTTTCCTTCAACTATCTTTTCAATCCTAACACTAGTCTTTCAATCATATGACAAATATTTTTTTTTTCCCAAAGTGTTTGTTCCATAGAATAAAACACAGCTGAGTCACTTGCATACTTGTCCTACTAATACCTACCATCATTTTGAGTATTTTCAAAAGCCTTACACAGCTGCTGGACAAAGCCAAAACACCTCTCTTTCAAAGAGCATTCCAGGAGTCAGTTGTTAGTGGCACGGCGAGCTAAATACAGCTTTCAGTGGGCATTGCAAAGTATAACTTAAAAGGATTTTACTCCACCATAGACTTTGGAGCCTGAAGCCCTGGTCAATCTAGGTCTCCTGGAGCGTCCTACAGCTTTTTCCTAGCCTGCCTGTCCAGCTCTTCTGCATAGGAATGGGAGGGGGAACGTGTGCCAAGCATCTTGCCAAGCAGCTGGGAAGCCATCCAGGCACAGGAGCTGGGAAGCTATGTGGGAACATTAGGAGAGACATAAAACCTGTGTTAAACATAAATTATGCACCAGCTTCTTCTGCCCTCACTAATATAAGCAGTAGGTTATATGAACTCGAAATCCCATCAAAGAGCTTATATAAAAAGGTGTTTCTGTCAACTGGGAGATCAAGTCTCCAATTATTTAAAATAGTAAATACATGAATTTACACTTAAATTTACATTTGCCATCTTTGAAGGTGGTAGGTCTTTAACCACTGCAGTTGAATTCATGATAATTTGTCCAGGAATACCCTCAGGTCTGTAATTGCCAGCATTTTGGCATGTCTGCCCAAGTGTTAACAGTGTTAGTATTTTATTTTTTACAGTTGATGAGGGGATTATGTTTTAGGTTTAATTCTACAGGCTGAAAAAAACCCCAAATTTCAGAAACTTTTTTTTTTTTTCAGTTAAAATATTGAGGGCAATCAGTATTAAGCCTACGGAAGTTGCTATGAATTTCGGTATGAGCTCCAACTGGCTACAGGAACAGTCTCCTGGAAGGCTCCAGATGGCTTCCAAATGGAATACAATTTCCGAGAAACAGACTGGGCTTCTGTATGGCAGAAATGAGCTTTTCAAGTACATAAGCTAACCATTAACAGAGCTATTAAACCTAATGCAACAGTAGTAGAAAAGAACTAGAAAATGTTTTTCTGTTAGTACAAAAGATCAAGTTCCACGCTAAGTCTATATATAAATACAGGAATTTATACAACCAGTAAAGATTTTCTATTGATAATTACCAAATGATGCTTTATCCATCCTGCTGATATTACCATTCATCTCCAAAGAGGCAGCGGAGATATTCTAAGTCCCGCCCAAACTCCTCATCTTCCTCCAGTCACCAAAACCTCCTCCTTTTACTTAAGACAGCAACACAGTCATGTACAGTTCCTGCAAACATTAAATCTTTGCAGTTAGAATAAGCAGCATCAAACCTTGATGATATGAAAATCATATCACAAACCATACAGTCCGTGAAAACAGAATTTAAAAAATGGAAGAGCCCGTGGTATAAATCTAACACTCAGGATGCTGTAGTTGAGAGGTACTTTGTTATTGGGGTGAAAAAAAAATATATTTATAATTAATCATAAAATTTTCTGTGGCTCTTGCTTACACGAGTGAGTGACAAGATAATTTCCTGGTTGTAAGTTAAATATATTGCTCCAGCTCGGTTATCCTCAACAATATACATCGCTTGTGACTTCGCATTGACTCTTTGCACTGCTAATTACTAGTTACCAGAGCTGTCAAACTTATATGCAAGAACTTAATACTCAGGGGCACAGAGAGAGCAACGCAGAAGCAGCAGTAAACATTAGTAATGCAATCATTAATAGGAAGCATCAAGCAAAATGCAATCACTGTGGTGGTTTTTGTCTTACATGTGCGTTGCGGGACTATCTATCTCTAGTATGTAGTTTTACATCTACTTTTAAAGGAACACTATGGAACGTCCTCTCATATTTGCCTTAGATATTAATTATCCATTACATATGAAAAAGGTCTCCTGCCAGTCTTCCAGAAAGGAAGACTAGATGGATTGAAAAAACACATTTTATCCTTGCTAAGATCAGTTCATTATCAAGGCATTATAAAATTTTCATTAAGTGAATTAGCATCGCTGAGTTCAATTAAAAAGTCAGAATTGGCAGGTTTTCTATTTCTCCACAAAAAGCATAGGAAAATATGAAACGGGCAATTATAAAAAGAAATATCAATTCCTCTTGTTTGAATTACAGTTATTCTGAATTACAGTCTGAATTTCTTTGGGCAGGGATGGAGAGAGAAAGATGATTTCTATTTATTATTTACAGGACTGAGTGTATTTACTGCAGTCTCAAAGTAAGAAAGACTGGATTGAAATAGTCTGGGAAGGGTTTTGAGTTTAGGAGTTGTATTTTACTATTCTTCCATATTTTTCTTTGAAAGAATGTGATGTGCAGGAAAAACATAGTGGTAAAGGGGAAATACATAAAAATGCATCATCAATAAAATTTGCAACTGCCATCATATAAAAATTTTCATTTTTGAACAAGTTTTTTTTCTTGAAGGTATTGTAAAAAAAAACCCAACACCAACAACCATGAGTTTGCCTGATTTCATTCAGTTTCTAAGAAGAAAGCATTAGGCATTGTAAAGGCAATACTTGCATGACCCGAATTGAATACAGTAGAGTTGGAAAAATCCTATTAGAAAATGGCAAAACAGAAACATGCACTTAGCAATCTGCTGCCATTTTAAAACATGCATTTCTCCTCTTCCTCTTTCTGAAGCGTAGGGCATTTCATCTATATGAATACCACCCACTTAAAAAAAGATATGGTGATCGAGCTTCACAAGATCTATTGGGATAACTTGTTTTCTAAAAAACTAACTACTTTTAGGGGATGTGTTTACCTTATTTTTGATTAAATACTGGGATGTATTCTTTCAAGAACTTTAAACATCAGTATTAAATTGTAAATAATTCAGTTCATTTAAAATGTAACTATGTATGTCTTTAGTTCCAGGACCTGGGACTTTCACAGCAGTAAGGAAAAAAAACCCAATATTTGGAAATTATAATAATCATGAGATAGTAACACTGGGTTCAAAAGTCTGTCTTTAGAAGAGCCACGACACTTAACACAGTTACAACCCATGACCTTGGCAGAGAAACCCCATGAAATATATTTGAGCCTCCTTGTCAGACGCGTTTGGATTTGACAGCCAACACTAGTCTAAGGCATAGAGTTGCATAAAATTTGCTCTCCTGGGCATCTAGTAAATACAGCATAAATGATGCTTACAATTATTTTTTTTTCCTACTCGCACATTTAAAAAAAAACCCTTCTGCTTAGGACAATCAAAGTTAAATTCTTTGGTGGTCATTTAAAAAAAAAAAAGCCAACTATACAAAGACAATTGATCAGTTGTCCTATACTGAGGTAAATTGAGGAGTGTCATCAGAACGCTGCGCTACCAACACCACTTGGCCATTGTCCCTGCCTAAAAGCAGCTCCCATTTTTTTAATATACTCAGCGTAGACCTCTACAGCCACCTGGAGAGGTCCTGTTCCACAGCCCGTCTTAACACATTGCATATAAGCAAGGCTGAAAGTTGTAAAGAGAGTGGATCCTACAGTCAGGAATGGAAAGAAAGTTCTTCTGTATATTACATCCTTGAATCGACCAGGAAGATGAACTACGTAGTCTACCCTAACATCGATATGTTAGAATGCTGCCACACATTCAAATGCAGTGTAGCTTACGGAGAAACAAAAAGAGAAGGAAATACAACTTGCAAAGACCTGACAGATTCCATCTGAACATCATTAAAGGGGGGAATGTCAAGTACATTAAAAAAATATATATAATCTTTCCACTGTTTGCCTAACTTCCCATTGTTTGCATATGCTTTTCATACAACAGCATGAAAATCATGTCACTTGGCAAAGGGGTTTTGGTTTGGTTTTTTTTTTATGGAAAACCTAATGGAACATGCCCTTTTACTTTTGTTTGTTTACCAGAATAATCGATTATGTCCACACAGCTCCCAGAGCGGTGCCTGTTCAACCTCCAGCAGCAAGAGCACACAGTACTATCTTGGGATATAAATGAAACTGGTTTTGCTCCTTTTGAATTATTTTTTTTTTGCAATAAAACAATGAGGGGAATAGATTTTACTTTCCAAGGGATGATTTCCATCTGCTTTCCAAGGGACGACTCCCATCATGCTCACGAGAAAGGGAGGGCAAAACCAGGATGCAGTACTTGACATTGGCCCCTTTAAAGAGGGAAAATAAGCTTTGGAAAAACCAAACGAAACCTTACTCTGCTGCCTACGAGAAAAACATAAATAGATATTAAGATACTCCTTAACCTGTAAGAAATGTCAAAGCTACTCGATTAAGTAAAAGTCAAGTGTTCCTCATGCCCCAATGACACGTTAGGAACAGCAAGGAGACAGCGATTCTGTGCAAGTTTTCTGGCAGGTGCTGCAATATCATCACATCTCAAACATTTAAGTAGGGTTTTTTTCAGATATAGGCAAATTATTTTTCTATTAGATTAACATTTTTGTGAAAAAATAACACGGAAATTCAATTATGAAGCTACATTTTGTTTAAGTAATCTGTAAATAACCTTATAAACTCTGGTCTAACACAATTTCTAAACAAAGATGGTTTTCATGTCTTAACCTGTTCACACTCATGGATTACTATCTTGTATGTGATTCATCTTTGCATGCATAGTGTAAAACCTTAGAGTTAGTTTGCTTTTTAGATTTTTATGATCTACCAATGTAGGAGTGCTGACAAGAAACAAACCGATGCCTTTGTAAAGGAGACATTTTTAAATTAATAGGAAATTAGTAATGAGTAAAAGCTTACCCCACAAAAATCAAATCAGCTGCTACATTTTCAAACTCTTCTTATGTATGATAAATAAAGTTAATTTTCCTGTAAAAAATTTTCATTAATCGTTCAACCTGCTTTTTGAACAATAGAATAAATAAAACCATTAGTGCCTAAAAGTTCAAATATGCTACAGATGTTTAAGATAACTGAATAACTACATTAAAATGCACCATGAGAAAACTCCTTATCATTTTCCATGCAGGAAGCCAATTGATATTTTTGTGAGGTACCGGTCTTTCAAAAATACTCATAAGTTAGTTACCTGATACACCTTCTGTACATGGTATAGTTAAAAATCTCACTGTACAGTGTTTCAATCATATATAATGCATATAATCTGCTGAATATGGCACAAATGCTAAGTTTCCACACCCACACATCCTTTGCCGTAGAACACATTTTAGGCATAACACAACACTGAAGAATAGAAAAGTGCCTGAAACTGCAAAAAAAAAAAAAAAAAAAAAGACACTCAAGTAGTAATAAATTAAACCTCATTCAAACTGATATAAAAGTTGTTCAAGTGTTTAAAGTATCAGATGTGTCATGCAACAGAACAACAGACGATTCAGGCAGGCACACCATGCATCAGAGTTTGCATTCATGGCATCCCAAGGGATCTCTCCCCAAATTCCGCGTGGCCGGGGAGCGCTGGGTACCCGCGGCACTGCTGCTCAGGCTCACGTGGTGGAACCTCCAGAACTTCTTGGTCTCCTGCAGAGGAGGTTGGTTTTCCGGAGCTAGGCCTCGGAAGGAGAACCAGGCAACCTCAACGCTGTACAGTGGTATCTTCTTGCTGCAGCATAAAGAGAGGCGTAACGGAGCTGCATGAAAGCAAAGCGGATCATTTCTTGATTATATTTTCCAGTCGGTGCAGTTCCCCACAGACCCTCTGATTGACCACCACAACATGCTTCTCCGGACTGGCCAAGTTTGCACACCAAGGAAACGTCTTCGCAGAACATACCACCTTTTCCTTTTTTTTTTTTTTTTTTTTTTTTTGGCACAAATCCTTCTGTACTCTTGCAGCAAGCTCTTCACCATACAAGAATTCAGAGATAGGAGCCTGTACAAACACCGGCGCTTATTCTTCCATAGAGTAAACTACAAAGACAGCAAAGTGGCCTCAACAGCTTTGCTTCTCCAGCAACTTTCCCTTCTCTCTCTAGGGAGAGCACCAGCGTAATTACACTTCAGACAAAGGGGCGTTCTTGCCGAGCTCTTTAATTCCCTGGAGAATTCGCTTCATATGCCCCACTTTCGTTATCCCCAGGTCCTACAGAAATTAAAAAAAAAAGGGAAAAGAGAAAAAGACAAAGAAGGAAGTTTATTTACAAAAAGGAAGAAAACAAACCCCATTGATTATGATCTAGCCATGCAACAGATGTCTAGAAATACGTTCACTGCAATCAACACTAACTGGAAAAGATTCTACGGCACTAGCAAGTGTTGCCTAACAAAAAAAAATTGCTTAGACCATACAATGAATCCCTCTCTGCTTAACAGACAGAAAATTACTTACCTGCAATAATGACCACCCAAGGCACTACAATATCTGTCAAAAACATCTTTCACTTCTAAGTACAAAAACCTTTACACAATTTCTGGCAAAAAAAAAGAAAAAGAACAATCTCCCCCTCCTCTCTAATACAGCAATCAAATGCTTGGCAGGATGTGATGGATTAGGGCTTCTGTCCAGCAATGTCACTTGATCTGAGGCCCTATGATGTCTGTTTTAATCAACAAACAAACACACATATCCCCAGATTCTCAATGGATGTAATGGCTACAGGCATGTAGGACAACTTCCCTTTAGAGAGCAATAGAAAAGGTAAGCATCTGGTTTTCATTCCAAAAAAGGTTACGTCTCCTAACATGGATCTTCCTGATTAGAAAGCTCAAAGAAAAATTCTCAGAGACATGACAGTCACATCCTACAGGAAAATGTCAAAAGCACAAGCATAAATCTCCTCGTAGCCACCACTAAAACAATCACATCAGCTGAAATGTTTCTAATATTGGTTTCTGGGACCCATCTCCATATGAGTGAAAAGAGACAAGAAATTTTTGCAGCAAACCTCTTCCAGCATTAATAACAGCTTTAGCAACGTCCTTTTTCAATTTTGACTGGTCCAATGGTCAGAGGAGCAGAATGGGACACCCAACCGTGCTAATGATCCCCAACTGCACTAATGAATTTTCAGCTTGGAAATTGGAAATTTCAGTGGAAACCTGCTTTCCTGATCTTTACAACCCAGCTTTGAAAAACTCTTTAACATGCTGGTGTTAGTGATGTTCAGCAAAAGACATATTCAAACATTAGTTATTTGGAGAATAAACCTTATGTAAATTTATTGTGATTAAATAAAAAATCTTAGTAAAGTTTCACTATCTATTCTTCTGCAACAGAAATCGTTTCATTTTAATAGGAAGATTTTCTATTACAAAGACATTAAAAGGAAGGTAGTGTAATTAAGCAGCTTGAAACAATTATACTCACAGGGAAAGAAAAATGAAAGCAAATAAAATATTCTATATATACTCTACACAAAGACTGCATCTAACTTCCTACAGTCACTGAAACCTCAGGAAATCTGCACTTTGTATTACTTAAAAAGTATTAGCATGCAATTCATTTTGCATTTCTCCAAAGGAAGAAAGAGGTGGTAAGATGGGCATGAATTAATTATTTTGTTAGAAAGGTAGCACAGCACAGATTAAACAGGTGGATTAATTTTCAGAGAGTCAAGATGGAATTCTTGTTATGTTAGAGACAAAAAAAAAAAAAATCTGGTTGTTTCTTCAGTAGAAAAATGTCAGCAATATAAATATGTGACCATCCTTACAGTACTTAGGCACAAAGTTGCCAGCATTAAAGAGTTCAAGATATGTTCCTAGAAGTTCCCAAACCAAGTGCTGTTTGGGGATAACCTACCTGAAAAAAACTTCTGGATTTTCCACATCACATTAATTTATAAGCGCTTTATCAACACTTATAAGAACATGTAATACTAGTTTTTAAGTTAAGAGAATTGATGTAGGCAGCAGTTGTTAAATTTGTCCCACGATGGCAGTAACATTTATAATTTTCCATTTGAAGAATATTTTCTGGTTTATGCTAAACTTAACTTTCCAATGAATCAAAAATACACACAACTATTCAAATTACTGAAATAGCCTGACTGTTATGTAGAAGAAATTCTACATAAGGAAAAACCTATAAGGATACTTTCCAAACCACGAAAAGCCACACATGCGTTAAAGGTTAAGAAATTACAAATTCTTGAGAACAAACACTTTTCATGAGTAGAACTTCTGTTGGATAACCAACACAGTGAGAAGCTGCCAGACTGCAAAGATCAGAGGAAAGAATCATGTTATGAATTTCCCAGAAAGCTCAGCCACTTTTTCCACAACCTTTACAAAGTATCACCTATATTTCAGAGGCAAGAGGTTTTATTTTTGTTCGAGTTGAAGTTGCTGTAATATAGATCAGAACAGCAAGCCTCAAGCGCCTTACCACAATTCTGGGGACATGTTTGATAAATTCTGCCACGCTTCTAGGAAAAAAAAATAAGTCAACCAAAAAAATAACCTCGGAATTTTTATGCTGTGTAATAGTTTGGTTTGGAAGAAATTAAGATTTATATATTCCTGCCACTAGATGCTATCTAGTAGTCTCAGTTTTCTACTGATGCTGGAAAGTTTGCAGAAATTCTGTCATCTCAGACTGAAGGGAGCTGCTGCGGCACCATAACATTCATCATTAAAAAAGCAAGATTCCCAAAGATCTGCATGCATGAGTTTCATCATGCTGTACGTAATCTGTCCATATTTAATTGCTATCTAATTAACAAAAATTCAATTTGACTAAAAATAGAGTTTTGAAGACAACACTGTAGCCAGAGTCTGAGGAAGAAAACAGCCTTTCTTTCTCCCCAGTTGTGGCCTCAAAACTACAGGATCATCTCTTCTGCTCTCCCTAACCACTTTGCCATCTCTAGGCCTTCAGCAGGTAAGGCTCAAAAAAATCTGAGAAAGAAAAAAAGAAACACTAAAGGTTGGGCATGAAAAAGCTGATGAGACCTTTCAGGAGCTCTTCATCTGCATTATATTATGGTGAGTAGGCCCCTGTCTGCGTAGCCAAGAATCCATTTGTTCCAGGTTTGCCCCCCAGATTTTGGCCAAACGTACCACCAGTGTAATACTACCAAACAATTTGTGTAAACACTCCTTACTATTAACATCTTCCAGACAGGAAACCTACTGCACTTGCATTCCCAGTGTCAAAAGGCATCTAGCATGCCTGAAGTCTAACACATCTTAGAAAACATACAAGAACTTAGTCAAAACCCGCTACTGCGAAACACAGAGATGAGATGCCACAGTCCTCAGCCCAGGCTTCAGCTTGACTGGCACTTCAAGCTGACATCAGGCATGGAAACCCCTTTCTCCAAGGAAACCAACATTGCTATGGAACTCGGAGGAGACATCATCCTCATCCTACCAAATGTGTTGCAGTTCTGTTTACTGCATGCATCGGATCATGATTATCAAGGCTAAGAATGCCAGCACTTATTTCAGAAAAATCAGTCTTGTTTTCAATGAGTTTGCATGTAAAATAAGGTCTAAAAAGTCACCACAAGCTCTCTTTCTACAGTTTCTACAACACAGTTTGCAATTCACTGTCCAGCCTTTCCTCGAGCAAAAGCAAATCCCATGGGTCTAAGATTCCCCTAAATAAAATCAGGCCTGGGTGGCTGGGGAAAGGGTATTACTGCAAGGGCTGGATGGAGAGAGGTATCTGGTTCCTCTTGGAGGTGTTCTCCATTTGCCAGCTGTCACACAGCACACACAGCTAGCTAAGAATGGAATCCACAAGCTACACAGAGATATAACTGGAGGTGTCCAATCCTTCATGCAGCTTATCGATCTATTTCAGTGATGCACGCAAAGGAAAAAAAGCTTCATCAAGTCCTTTTCCGCACAGCTTTTTATCTCTGCTTTTGACGACAGAAAGATGGGTGGGCCCAGAGGATTGAATTAAAGCAGGCAATGATTTTTCCTGTTGTAGACGTGAGAGGTAACCGAGGTGAATCTATTGCACACGACTTAAGAGCTTGTGAATCAATGGGGAGCCCATTTAGCGTGGCAGGAAGCACAAGCCCTGCGCCGGAGGAGAGGCTGTGGACAGAGGACAGCTCACAAGAGGGTTGAGGAACACCTCGATGGGCACAGGGAGGAAAAACTAACAGGGCAGCTTGTGACACGTTCCTCATTTCCTCGGCACCACGTTACACATCCTGCCACCAATTCAGGTCAGAAATCTGCAGGCTCCTTCAGCCGCCCTTAATTGGCTCCCTGCAGGGATCACATCCCGCAGGTAATGACCAGGGCGAGTGCTAAACTCTGCTATTTGAAGCCAGCCCTGCCACACAGGGTGCAAGCTCTGCTTGGCCAAAAGCTTACCTGAGGAAGAGCAGCGTGTTGGAAGCTCTCGGCTCTGCTAATGAGCAGATGGGGTGATCCTCGAGCAGGACCTCCGCTAGCACGTGATAGACCCTTGGCAACTCACATAGAGCTCCTCTATGCTCCTCCAGCTATGCTGAGCAGTTTAAAGCCCACGTATGTGCTTCCAGGCAGCACTAGACAGAGGGGACAGTAAGAGTCTGTCTCTCTGTAGGCTCTAAGACAGGCTTTTTAGATATTTCAGGGTGTTGTGATGGGATTTTATTTATGCTGAATCAGCATGAGTCTTACACAGGGATAACAGGTTGATGATTACCCTCCTGCAGATATTTGCTTGGTTGAAATGCCAGTCTTCTGGGCCTGTGGCCAAATGTGGGATTGTTCAGCCTGGAGAAGAGAAGACTCCAGGGAGACCTTATAGCAGCCTTTCAATACCTGAAGGGTGCCTATAGAAGAGCTGGGGAGGGACTCTTTGCCAGGAAGGGTAATGATAGGACAAGGGGAAATGGTTTTAAATTGGAAGAAAAAAGATTCAGATTAGATATCAGAAGGAAATTTTTGGTGAGACACTGGAACAGGTTGCCCAGGGAAGTTGTGGATGCCCCATCCCTGGAGGGGTTCAAGGCCAGGCTGGATGTGGCCTTGAGCAACCTGGTCTAGTGGGAGGTGTCCCTGCCCATGGCAGGTGGGTTGCAACTCGATGATCTTTGAGGTCCCTTCCACCCCCAACCATTCTATGATTCTATGAAATCGGTACCCATCAGAAATGAGGCATGGCCAGAAGCCGTGCCTAGTTTAACGCTGATCTCACCCACCATCATTCATTCCAACAAATCTGACATGGTGATGTGTGTTTTATTTAAGGTTTCTTAGCCTCTTAGGAAAACTATGCATCATGTGATACTGAGTTTCCCAGTTAAGTTTTAAGAGAACGGGGACTCGCAACATCCATCAATGGGACATCGCAGTGGATTCCTTGGACAGCTTTCCATTTCTAAACTTTTGCATGGAGGGACGGTATTACCCTGAAAAAAATGGAATTTAACTTCCACAGAAAGAAGCTCAGGTGACCTGATGCCAAGGGATAAAATAATACACAACAGCTAAACACATCTTATCAAACACAGCTAATTTCAGCAGCTGCATTCTCCTGCAACAGTCACACAATGCAAACACCACGTTATAATGTCAGGATTTCATACTGTATCAGAAACTTTATGAAAAATGGCACATTTGTATGAAAGTATTGCCTCTATCTGGAGACTACTGCACTGTGGCTAGAGCCATGACTTGCACTCCAAATGTAAATGTTTGCGATTTATACAATATCCCATTTCCTCTCTTATGTGCTAAAAGCAGTTGCAAAACACATTATCAAGAGCTCATTACTACCGAGTTCCCGGAAAAAGTAATGTAATGAATCCCCAAAGATATAGCCTCTATTACATATAATGGATGCACTTAAGTCATTCCTGAAAAAGACCAGCAAGCTCAAATAACAGCCTCAGACTGCTAGGTAACATTTCTCCCTACAAAACTTATCAATCTGACCTCAGAGGAAGAAAGTTTTACGATTTTGGAGAGAAAAGAAAGTGCTCTTTTCTACATCTAAACAGCTAAAATCAGGCAGAGGTTGGTCAGGGGTGAGAAAACCTATTGCAGAGGTCTATTTTGACACCAACACCAAGGTGGAAGTCCAATGCCGCAATATATTAAGCTGCTTATCTCTCTCACACCCACTACATCCAATGTATAAACAATAAATCACCTGAAGCAGGTCATAGCTGCTGACCTTGCAGTAGACAGATTCAAAATTATTATCACCACCTTCAACTGATCCATACTGATCCTGTTTAATGGAAACAGTGAGCTCTTGAAGATAACATTACATTACACTGATGGCAGGAAGATATCAAACATGCTTTTCCTCTGCCTTCTGACATAAACTATAACACTATAATTCTACATAAAGTGCAAAAAAAAAAAAAATGAGGAAATTTCAGATAACACAGATATTCTTGGTTGCGAGTACAAGTCAGAGCTTCAGAGATTCAGGCCAAAGGACAGCGCGTATTAGTTTATTGCATATTTGCACAGTGTAAGCCAAGCTACAAGCTCATAACAAGTGCAGGGAAAGAAGAAAAGTTGGTTGTTGTTTTGTCAAAGAAAATGGTCAATAGCAGAAAGTAGCACAAAGGAAATACCTTAAGATCTCGCCTTTCCAGATGTAAAAGCTCAGAGCCTCGGATGTCATGGCTGATGAAGATTTCTTTGTACTCTCCCAAACTGAGCAGATCCAGCCAAGCAGCAACTTCATCTGTGCCCCATTTTTGAACTACCAAAGTTAAGAGCAAAACCCCCTTAATTTCTACATGCTCAAATGCATCACAAGCAAAGGTTAGGCCAAAGAGAGTGGAAAACAGAGTAGAATTGCCGTGCTAGCAAAGGGAAAGGTTAGAGGTGTCATTTCCACAAAAACTGACATTTTCCTTTTCACATGCAGGTTACAGGTTAGCAGTTAACATGAGAAAGTATCTAAACGAAGTTGGGGTTCTTTGCTTTGCAGCCATGCTTTCAGCTTTACTCCAGTTTCTCCAGTAAAGCCTTTAAAACCCAACAAATTCACATTAAACCACCTTAGGATCAGTGACGCAACGTCTAATGTTGTTCTGCTTTATACCGTTAATTTATTAGTAGTCATCCAGGGAGAGGAGAAGCCTTCAAAAACTAATTAACATGTAAAATCAAAATATCAACCATACCTCTAATATAGCAATGGCAGCAAGCAAGTCCAGTTTTAATTAACAGTTTCTAGTATTCTTAATTAATGCAACAAGTATTCTTTAAGCTAATGTGTTACACAGGCCATTAATAAGCTCTCTGTAAAACATTGTTCTCTAAGGTTAGTTGCCCACATTAGTCCTAATAAGACCACATTTATTGAAAAAAAGTATAGTTATGCTAATTATTGCTATAATTTTTCAACTTCATTCAATGCTGATCAGTTTTACAATGAAGTGAAATTTGAAGTCTAATCTGAAATCTAAAGTCTGATCAACAACTGCAAGATTTTGCAGATTTTGACCAACTGTCCATTAAAAAGACAAAGATGTAGAAACAGTTTTAGGACCATCTGGTCACTGATTAACTCCTGGACATAATCTTAAGGAAGTAAGTTCACGAACAAGAATGGGAAGAGAGGAGAGTGGAGTTTGTTCAACTTGTTCTAATTTAAAAAAAAATAAATCAGTATTGGCTATTGTGGCTTTTTGTTTGATTTGTCTCACTCGCTGAACTTAACACCCATCTGAAATTTAAGAATAACTGGTTAATTAAACCAGTATGATAAAAACTACTGCCCACCTTCTGAAACTAACCTGAAAAACCTGAACAGGAGCTTCATAGGGAAACAACGTGTTTACCTACGACTCGTGTTGCTATGAGTTAATCAAACGTAACCACCAGCAAAGACACAGCTCCTGTCGCGTAATAAAACTACCTAAATATTTTCTCAGTAGTTCTTTGGTTCATTTGGAAGTCTTGGGGTCCTACTGAATGCTTTCTAAACGCACTGAAAGAAATCTTTATCCTAATGGAGATGACAGTTAGCTCAGTTGCTTTTCACTTTGACTAGAGTGCATCATTTCAACTCTTATTTAAAAAAACCCTCATAAAATCACATTTTGCCCAAATGTCACTATTTTTCTTGTAATTGCAAAACACATACCAGGCTGAGGGCTGGTCTTATGCTTCTGAACTTTTTCTTTTTTAAACTTTGGCACTATGCGGAACACTGTACTTCTGTTGTTTCTTTTAGCATAATCCAGTGGGGGATCCTGCATGAAAAACGAGGCATAGTTACCGTTAATTAACAGAAAACAACAGCGAAATTACAAGCTTGAGACGGTAATTCATAGTTAATTTCAAAAATCAATACCAAATTTTGCTTTTGTAAAGAATAATGTTGGGATTTAACTCTATACTTATTTCATTTATTAAATAACTACTCACAACCTTTACATTCACAAAAGGAAACAAACCACAAAAAAAGCACTAAGCTTAGAAGCTTGTTCACAGCAGACAGAAGGGATCTAGCATCACTACTGAAAATTGCTTCTCCAGATCATGAGGGATTCTAACTTACTCTTCCCTATCAAAAGAAAACTAAGTTCCATTAGACACAGGAAGTATTAATCAAACTCACCTCATCATCATTTGGTTGAAAAACATAATAAAGCCAAGGTATCTCAGCAAGTTTTCTCAACTCTATTTCCACGCTGTGCAAAGCATCAGACAGCAGCTCTTCGTGGGGAGCTTCTAACTGCTGTTTGTAAACAGGTCAGAAGAACAGTATTTTTAGTTTTGTTAATATATAACATTTAAATCTAGATCTGTTACCAGGCACAAACAGTTGACCACTATAGAGTTAGGGTTAAGGGGAGATTTAGGCTAGATATTAGGAAGAAATTCTTTACTGTGAGGGTGGTGAGACACTGGAACAGGTTGCCCAGGGAAGTTGTGGATGCCCCATCCCTGGAGGTGTTCAAGGCCAGGCTGGATGGGGCTTTGAGCAACCTGGTCTGGTGGGAGGTGTCCCTGCCCATGGCAGGGGCTTGGAACTTGATGATCTTTAAGGTCCCTTCCTACTCTAACCATTCTATGATTCTATGATTAATAGTGAGTGTATACTACTACTCATCTAGTCCAACCCCCCTGCAAAAGCAGGTCCTCCTAGAGCAGATTGCCCAGAGAAGTAGTGGAATCTCCTTCTCTGGAGACATTCAAAACCTGCCTGGACAAGTTCCTGTGCAACCTGCTCTAGGTAGACCCGCTCCGGCGGGAGGACTGAACTAGATGATTTCCAGAGGTCCCTTCCAACCCCATTATCATTCTATGATTCTGTGAACTTGTCCAGGTGGGTTTTGAATATCTCCAGAGAAGGAGACTCCACCACCTCCCTGGGCAGCCTGTTCCAGTGCTCTGCCACCCTCAAAGTAAAGAAGTTCCTCCTCATGTTTAGCTGGAACTTCTTATGCTCAAGTTTGTACCTGTTACCTCTTGTCCTGTCAAGTTATACCCTAGTGAATGCACTTTTAAAATGGAGTTGTAAGAGAATCTCTGATCTCCAGTGCTGGAAAAAAAAATGACATTGTTGGGGTTTGGTGATAAATTACAAGCCCCCATTAATTTATCCTACCTAACAAAAACAACTTTCCTGTGCTTCAATAGTTTGAACATGTTATTACCTTTCAAAGGAGAGACCATCTTTAGCAAGATATTGCTATTCAGCATAGTAATACTGGAAACAAGCTCCCTTTTGCTATCATATTTTTTTCTCTCTAAAGATCAAAGAATTCAGTGCCCACAAGCAAACTCTGATCTTTCTTTTGCCTTCCTTTTTTTTTTCTTCAATTTGAACAGTTAAGTTATTTTGGAGCACAGTGGAAGACCCACTTGTGTTTGAAGAAGCTACAACTCTTCTTGTGTTTTGTTTAAAAGAAATGAAGTAATTTATTTTATATAAATGAATGAAGCAAAGAGTTCTGGCTTTCTCAACAAGCACTTATCCAATTCCTTGATTCTCAAAGGAAAACATTTTGCTCGGGGACAAAAAAACTCTCTCATCTGATGGTAAGAAAGTGTATGCATTGGCAATATTGCTCCTGAAATAAACCCAAACCAATACTGCAATTCTGGTAAGGGAAGAGTCAGCAATTTAGGGTAAATTCTCCTCCTACATCATCCTGAAAAAGCTTCTTATTTCCAAGATGGAAATTAACATTATGAGTGAAACAATTAAAAGAAAGGATTTTTTTCAATTCCTTCCTAAATGAAACTTTTAATATGGAAATATTTTATTTCAGTGAGCTCAGATAATTTCATTCAGTTGAAATGAAACATTCTATCATACTTCTCCCATAATACATTGGAAATTTTTACTCTGTTCCAGACTGGAAATGCTTTTTAAAAATAAAAAATGGAAATAGTGCCTTTGGAAAATATCTAGATGAAACACAGTAATTTTTTTTCAAAACAGTATTCCAGCTATAACCATCTGGGAGATTCCACAAATCGGTTTCATTGTCCCATCTTATAATTTCATTAAAAATGGTATTTATAGCTAATTCACCATTTGATGTTATCTAGCTAAAACTGTTCTATGAACTTTGATAGACATATCTTACAGGAGGTGGCAGGAATCACAGTCTCTTTATATATGTATTTACATTTCTTTTGTCTCCTTCAGGAGCCACAACAGAAAGTCTCAAGAGCCCATAAATGGCAATCCAAAAAAAAACTGAGTAGTATATGCAAAAAAGGAATCCATTTACTTCTATCAGGAGTTTTGATCACAGAAAAGAGGGGTGAGGGAGAATTGAGGAAAAAATAAAAAAGAGGAAGATATTAAAGAAAGAACACGTGTCTGTGTCAGAGGAGAATAGTAATTTGGAGAACAGTGTATCATGACAGCAGCTGATGCATCAAGCAACACCTTACATTTCATCTGCCTCTATTTTAATAGTGAGCGACCAATATACATGTAGCTTCAGCATTTATAAAATCCATGGCAATAAGGTTAACCAGGGTGCTTTGGTACTGTGACTGTGAAACACTGTTCTAAACAAGTATGATGTCACATGAGCATAATGGACATCTCTGGACGATTATCTTAGTATTTTCCAAATGGCCTTTCTATTAAAAAATGGGTTTGATGTAGACTCATGAAGACATTTCCACAGACCATAATAAGAAGCAGAAGTATATCACGTAAAAATCAGAAACGGGCAGATGAATCAAATTAAGGTTTGGAGCCCGAACAAGGGATCAGTTCAACACCACAATGAGATCACAACTGGCTATCAAAAAGGTAATGTCTCAACGGGAAGGTTTTCATAATAACACTATTTCCAGAATGCCTTGATAAATTACACTAGTCCTAGTATGGCGTCACCAACTTAAATCTTTTTTTCTAATTTCTCTTCCTAAACTATTTTAAAATTTAAACAAATTCTCTGTTTTGATTCCCCATTCAATCTGAAATATGAAGGATTACTAAGAGCAATTTGGAAAAAACAAAAACCCAGCAGATTATTTTTCCCTTTTATTGGACAAAAACATCTAATGAATAACTTTCCCTTCTAAAAACTCATAAAATAGATCATATGAGCCTAATCTTTGACTACATGGTTTTATCTTAAATGGTTATTAGCCTTTAGACCATATTAACTTTTGGTTATTGTAGAATAGACTCATACCATTTATCATTTGTGTAAGAAGGCATCTGAACCTACACCACTGTTTCATGCCCTAACTCAGCTAAATGAAAACATTCCTATTGATATCCGTTTTTAATTATAACACTTAAATAAGCAATAAGTTAGTAATAAATCTGAATCCAAAGAAAACGTAATTCTTCCTACTGAGTATCTTCTTAACATAAAACTGGACCAGCACAGAAAACCTGACGTCTTTCTTCTCTTCACAATGTCACTTATACATATTTTCTAATTATACATCCAGGTGCAACAATTAACTGAGCAGTCTTCATCGTTGTAGGCACATAAACACTAGCCAAAGAAAATGACGCAAAGTCTTCGAATACCATCAGAGGTCTACTGAACACTTAGCAGTTAAAGGTTATAAAATAATTCCTCTATTAGAACAAAGGTGAGATTTACTTGCCCATATTAGATCTGTAGAAGTTGAATGTATGAGTCTGAACAGCTCTCTTTAAAGAGGTTCTCTTTACTGAAGAGAACATCTCAGGTTCTCTTTAAATTCTGAAGATGGTCACATAATAGAACTCCAGAAGTTCTCTTAAATGCTAAACCTCCAGAAGATTATTTATCTTTTTCTAAGATTGGCCTCCAAGACAGTTGAGTGTGAATCAGCCTCAACAGGGATACTTATTTCTCTCCACTGACTATTAAAAAGAAGAGCCCGGGCAATGACCTTTTAGATATCCAAACTGAGGTAAGATGGATGCCAAACTAGGACAAGAATTCATAACTCATTTCAGTCCAACCCACAAATGCAGTGTAATTAATATCCTCCAATCGGCCTCACAGAGCTTCTTGTAGCATGTCATACATCCTGCACCAATTAAAAAAATCAGCAAAGAACAGATCATGGATGATCTGAATGACGGAATAAAACCACGTCTTTTGTGACCTTACCAAAGGGACTCTTCCTACTAGCAGAGATTCAGTTTCATTATGTAGGGCCTTCACATTGACAGCTATCTCCATGGCAGTGTTTCTGGTAAGGCTCTGGGGAATGAGAAGCATAAAAGTTATTTGAAGTGATGCAAGTCAAACTGAGAATAAGTACTTTGGACTTACAGCACAGATCTTAAGCATCTTTTAGGAGAAATACATCAACTTAGCTCTACACTGACAACTTCTTCAGCACTGAGAATAGAAAACAAAAATGTAGTATCTATTTACTGTCTTTTGCACAACTTCATTTAATACAACCTTATACAATCCTAAGATCATCACCTGTGAGATGAATCCACAATTTATATGGATGACAAAGGCCAGCAGAAAAGTTGTGGGGCTCATTTAATGACTGTTGATCTAAATTGTTCACCTTACCTTTAGCAGACGTAAGCTTCTAGCCGTGTTTTAAGAAGCAAAGGTGAACTAATATATTTGCCATATGTAAATTTAGGTTAGATATAGATAGCCTCTACCTAATTGATCTTTTTTGGATCCAGTTCCTGGAAACATCCAGATTGTCTATTGTGACGAGAGAAACCAGAAAACTCATTTCCCCTCAACCCCCTTTGCATTCTTTACATAGCACTTGGATAACAATTAAGCATGAAAATTTCTACAAATGCATTGACAAGAATTGACCTGCATGAAGGAAGAGCATTTGTTCAGCCTTTGTCATGCCTCCATCACTTCAGGATGAGCACCCCTGGCTAAGGCCCTCCATCACAGGTGGTGTGAATTCCTTACTGCTTCCAAATGGCAACAGACAAACTCTTAGGTGCCCCTAATCCAAAACCCTTACCTCCCTTTCGACTGCTCGCTCCCCCCTGCAACAACACCCAAAAGGTCCACATTTTAAGTGTCATTAATGTCCCTTTCTGACGTCCAGCATTCACAAAAGAGAGTATCAGCTGAAGAGGACCCTGATGAAAGCAGAAACTGCATCTTCTGCCATCTCTGATATTGTACTGATCCAACACCAGGAGGGGACTGTCCTCATTAATACTCCTTTGTAAAAAGGCAGTTCTCCTAACTCCCATTCCTGATATTTTTAATAAATTTCAAAATCATTGAGCATGATCTCTATCAAATTCATCAGCTATGGGATGTTCCCTTATGCATGTGAAGGGCTGAGACTCCCTGCTGCTACATAGAGCAGCACTTCCAGAATCGAAAATGAATCTCCCTTTTCAATCACCTTAGAAAAAGTGGCAAAAAAGGGGGGAAGATACAGCATCTGTTCATCTGTTAAGCAATTTCATTTAAATTTGAGCATGTGTATGTATATTTGGATTCTTGTTTATCAAAAACTTTCAGAATTATCATCCAACTTAAACAGGGAGTGCAATGCAGCTCCCGTGTCACGAACTTATGCACACAGATATACCTTATTTACTTATACATAAATCTCTGATCTTCCTTTACCTCAGGAAACCTCGGGTTGGCTTTATTTAATGCGTGTGAACAGGCATTAACAGCATGAGCAAGCTCCTGCTCCAAGAGGCCGTGTATTTTTGCTGCTTCACAGATCCTACAAAAATATGGAACAAGAGAAAAATATTTCTTACTCTCTTTAAAGAATAATTCCTAAGAGTACACAACTTCAGCAGATGAAAAAAATATGCAAAGGTGTGTTTCACAAAACACTTGAAAAAAACATATAGTCCTTTATAACAAAAGTTGAAATACAAGTTTCTCTTCAAACAATACAGAACCTCATATAAATGATATCCATAACACCAATGATTTATTTATTTATATGATTATGAAATATCGAGATATATTTATTTGTCTTAAAACACAAATGCTATGCAAAAATTCTACCAAAAAAATATTGGGGCTCTTAATTAAAATAAACTATAGAGGAAAACCCTAGCACACCAGTAGGTGTAACTTACTAGGTGTAACCAGTAACTTAAATTTATCTTGGAAACTATTCCATCTATTCCACAAGGCATATCCTTCAGATATGACACTAAAATTGGCTGCAATCATTTGAGTTTATGGGAGGTCCAGCCGTAATTACAACCTCAGGACCATCTCTAGAACAGCAAAGTTTTTAAGCTGTCTTGACTAAACTTCAGTTTGGGTAATTTATAACCTAAATTATTCTTCTATGTCTACTTAAGTCACTGGTACACTGTAAAAAGAATGTGTAGTTCTTCAATTCCTTTCTTACATTATCAGTGCAATTCAACAGAGACTCCAACAATTTATTTTGATGCTTTAGATAAATTATTATTGGGATCAACTGAATAGCAGCTTTATAAAATGTTTTGACTTGAAAAAAAACGCTTATCTTAAATAAAATGTAGGGTTGGGGTTTTTTCTGTGAAAATTGAAGTGTCTTCTTTAGTAAAATACTTGCATCTCAGGAAGAAAGTAGTTCTTGAAAATAAGCAAAGCTGTGGGATCAGTTTTATACCATCTGCTCACTCTCACCTCAACCCTCACGTATTGCTGAAGTGTCCAGGGGCACAGAGATGAGGATTTTGAGCATTGGGAATGAAATAGAAAGCTGCGGTAACAATGAATGAGTGGATTAATACAAAAAGATAGGGAGATTTTTGTCTGGTACTTTGGGCTCCTTGAATGTTGATGTGTTAACTGTTTACTTGTAAAATATTTTAAGAAAACTTTCAGGTTTATTGAAACATGCTCCTCTTTTTTGTAACTGTGAATAACAAGGCTTTAAGAAGAAATAAGATCAGGAGAAGTTGAGGTCAGGTGGATACGCCTACACTGTTGACTTCTAAAGTCAACTCCTAAGTGTGTTTTTTTCAATAAATATATTTTTGCTTTTGCATTAAACAAGAAGTTTCAATCAAAAGCCTCACTTCAAAGAAGCTTTCCAGTTTTCCATTTATACTGCTCCTTCGGAAAGCTGGTTTTCACAACCAAAAAGATACATAAACACACAAACCTAAAATTACAGAAATATATAACAAAAGCATACATAAACAAGTTAAGCCTTTAAATAATACATTAAATTTAGTAAATTAAATAACTGATAAAGTGGGAACTAAACATTAAACAAAACCCAGGGAAAATATAAACTTCTAAATCTATATATGTATTTGCACAAATAATTTATCTTGGTGCCTATGTTGCCAATCAAAACTTCTATAATTTTACTCTACCTGGTAATCAGTTCTTCTGCAGCTTGTGAGCACAGCTGGATCTGTGCAACTTCTTCTTCTGTAGCCAACTCCACAGCCTGCTGAGGGTACAAGGGTGATCGAATGACAGGTTTACAGGAATCATACTTCTGTTTGTCCTCCCAAGACTTCAGGGTATTTTCAAAGGCCTAAGCAAAAGAAATCACACATTCAGTTCACAGCACTTGGAGTATTTTTACTTATTAAAAAAAGTAATTTTATATTTTATATACATTTGAATTTCTATAAAATTTTAGTTAACATTAATTTAACAAAAAAAAGCCTTTTAAATTTAATTTTTTATATAAAGAGAGGAAGGGAAGGAGGATATATAAAATTTTGACCATTCTTTGACCATTAATAAGAATACAGGAAAAGCACTAATAAAACTGATAAAAGCTAACACAGCTTTGTCCCTTATACAAAAGAACAATTCTCTATCCGGCCTACTATAGAAATTATATAACTGTAAGTAATTATAGAAGTTATATAAATAGTTATAAAACATTTTTATAAGCATTGTTTTGTTCATGTTATAACTGAATCAAATTATTACAGAGACCGGTGTTAATAATGGTATTTCATAACAATATTTCTGTTACATACTCTGTCTCGTGTTAGCATCTGCGCTCTGTTTTTATGTATGATCTTAATAACTCCTGGGGGCTGGATCCATGCCTCTCCATCGACTTGCACTGGAACCCCTTCATCACCAAGTATGGTGATCTTTACTGACCGACACTGGAAAAGAACAAACACATTATTTTACAGAGCAATAAATACTAATGAAGCTGACGGGCCACCTGAAATATGTTGATTACGAGGAGCTGTGGCTTCCCTCCAGGACTGTCTCAAGGATGAAGCACTTTTATACCTCATTCATCATCGAAGACAATTCATTACCCGTTAAAATTAAAACAATGTCAGCGTTTTATTAACGTGTAGGATGGTGGTCATCAAGAGTACCGCTACTTGCCAGCATCCCAAACTGCTGCCAACCGTGTTGCGTGCCTTCAAGTAAGACACAAACCTGAGCTATCCTGTGGTGCTGCAGTTTGATGACTCTTGAAACTGCCATCTGCATGCTGCCAAACACCGCAACGACTTCTAAGATTTTATCATCGAACGACGGAGCCCCAAATATCTGAAAGGAAAAGGAAATATTCCATTTCTGATGGTAAACCTAGTGCTTAGATTGCATGCTCAACGAAACACAGATTCATTTACAGATTCGTTTTCAACTCTTAAATGCTCTAACGTATTTACTGTAGAATAACTACATTGTCTCTCAAAAGTCATAGAAGTGAGATAGCGTAGACAGGAGGCAAATACTGTTTTAAACCAGCAATGCTTATAGCATTTCAAATATCTGAATGACGAGGCATATCCTTATATAGGAAGGAGGGCATGTTCCAGTGTGCAGACTAAGACATGTTTTTCAAGGCAAGATGAAAGGCCAATTCAAATCTCTGCTTGGTAAATGTACTTAATATCTAATAGGTTCTTGAAGTTGAGAGGAGTAATGGTGTCTTTTTTCTCAGAAGTGCTTATCTTCTTTTATTTTGAATTCTCTGGAAACCAACGCCTGAGTTCACGCTCGGCTTTGTTAAACACAGCTTTCATATTGAAAAGGATCCTGTTTGTGCTGTATACAATTATCCACTCTAAATATGAAAACCACTTCACTATGGAACAAACGTCCTGATACCCAACCAAGGCATTGAATTTCCACGAGCTTACACAAAGCAGAGGAAGTCTCGTGTGTGTCATTGCCCCCTGGTGTCCTGCAGGGGAATTCAGCCACACCACAGGACAAGTCTTAGGGGGGAGTTCAACTGGGTCTGGCAGGAGACACCATACTAAGGTCACTTGGAGCTTGACCGTTTCATCCTGATATGCAATAGGGAGCAACGAGGGAGAAAAATCAGCAGAAGAAATCACTGCAGTAAGAGTTTAACAGGCAGAGAGATGACCTCTCTGAGCGGTACTTGGACTACTTCAGTTGGCACCTTGGGCAGAGTAAGCTGCACCAGAGACACCTGAGACCAGACTGGAGAAAATCCCTGAAAGGAGCTCAGAAGCCACAACTAGTTGGGTCCCATACCCTGATAGACGACTTCCTAAATGTGAAGAATAAGAGGGTGCAAATCCAGAACTGTGTAATTCAGGTTGTGTCTGCAGCAATGGCTCAGGGAGAGAGAGGACGGGCCACAGAGTGAGGGACTTTGGTCCCTGGTGCCCACCAGGCCAGTGGGAACCTTCACTCCAGTGCAATAAGTGGTGGCTTTGGCCAGGAGGCTGAGGAGGGCTTCTCAGGGAAAGGGCTGCACAGCACAGTTGCCACAGTTTAGTGGCACATCCAGGTGACACTTCAGAGCATCCCAGGATTGCACAGATAGATCTTGAGCAGGTAAGTGTCAAAGAACGAAAGTGCAATTTTACTGGCTCTAGAGTGTTTTGACGTGAAAGGTTTCTCTATCTGCATTTTTTCAATTTCCATGGAAATGTTTCCATTTTCATATGGGGATGTGAACATCTTGAAAAGAGCAAAGACAGTGATTCTGTTATTCCAAGGTAAAAAGTATGGACAGTCCTTGATCCAGCTTTAACAAGTATAAGGGACATCTACAGGGCTAGTTCTGCAGGAGTTAAGAAAAAGTAGTTGTAAAATTTCATTTATTTTGTGCTTCCATTTTAGCAAAAGGATGGGCAAATCCCAACCCAGTCTGCTGTGTCTCTCCACCAATTAAAATATATCTGTACTGAGAACCAACCATACTTTTTTTTTTTTAATAAATAAAGGCAAACGAATCCTCGTGTATCAATATTCAAGAAACAATTCCCTCCTTTCCTGTTGCAGGTCGTGGTTCCAGCCCATCCTTTGGACACCAAAAAAGCATGCCTAAACAAGCCCAGCTCAAGTCGGTCAGCTGTGTGGCCACCCTGCTTGGCTCACTGATGTTTCAGGAATATCTGCAGCTGTCAAAGGAAACATCTTGCTTTTGTCCAGATAAGCAGAAACACCAGCACTTCAGACCACCATCTCAGATGACCACTCAAGAATACACTAAGGCAGTGAATTATGCTCTTAACTTGGTCCACAACTGCTATGTCATTTTACTGGTACATCTGATCACCAGATGACTAAGAATATCAGTAAAACTGCTCCAAGAGACACACATTCACTGTCTACCAGTATAACAGCTAGGACAGATCTTCTCTCAGTGTGGCAGTCCAGGGAGAAAAATAAACCCCTGAACAGGAGCTGAGCAGATGTTAGAGATGCTTTCAAGTTATGAATATGAAATGGAGTAGATATCCATAGCCAAATATAAACATAACTGCCATCCTCTAACATATAACAAAAATAACAAAAGGACATCGAAACATGTTTAAATATTTTTGTGACTTTTATATATATGTGTGTGTGTGTGTATATGTATAAAGCAAAGGATAATAACTCACAAGAAACCAAAAGCATTAAGCATTTTGGCAAAAAAAATCCTGGATTGTCTACATTAAAATCACAGGCTAATTTGAAACTGCAGTTTCAGGTGATTCAGACCTCACACACACTAAATCAGTTCATGCAGAACAGGGATAATCTGCAAGTAATTACAATTGCTCCACTGTGCGTGAAGTGGACGGCAGCAATAGGACCGCTTCAAGTTGTAAGACATTTCGGTGTCCATGTAGTGTCACATTTCTGAGGAGATGTGAGGAAGAAGGGCAAAAAAGATAGCTAAAATATTTTAGAAGAATTGTAGAAGCTCATTGAAGATAATATTTAAAAAACAAGATTACTACCCCCACTAAACTATCAGTCACTAAATGCATCAGTCCTCATTTTCTGAATCACCATCCCTTAGAGTCCAAAGCTGTTTGAAAAACAGGAGGAAAATTGAGGTATAAACCATGAGTGATTATCCTTATCTACCTTGCTTATTGTTAGAATAACCTTATTTACAGGTTTACAATATAGAGACAAACTATTTGTGTCTCTGTTTATAAAATTAGTTTCTAACAACACTCATAGAGCCATTTTAAAAAAAAATTATTAAGCCTTATTGTGAACATTTTTGTCTAATGGACATGACAGAAAGCAAGAGTGAAAAATCATGGGATATATTTCCAATTAAAACATCAACAAGTTAAAACTGAAACAGCCTCTCTGCATAAGAGTTGCTATCCAAACCATATGCTACTAATATTAAAATTAAATGAGAAGAGCAGTTCATGCTATTTATTGCTTGTTTTGCCCAGTAGATTACTTCTCTTTAATGCTACTCACATCATCTTCTTTGGTTCCACCCCAGAAATTAGTCCCACCAGCATAGCTGGGAATGTTTAGCACAGCTATGCCCTGCAGACTCGGAAGGGGGATGTACTGTCCGTCACACTGTAATGGATAAAAGCTCGTTCAGTATATAAATAATGTGATAAAAGTAATCAGTCATTTGTAATACATGAAGATTCAACAGAGCTGGCAGGGGAGGATGGAGTCACTAGTAGGTGGACACAAGCCAATTCCACGCATGCTGTGAAGCATCTCTAGTACAAACCTCTCCTCCACAGTGACTTTTGCAGAGCTGAAAAAACACTAGTGCCAGGACAAGAGGTAACGGGCACAAACTAGAACATAAGAAGTTCCACCTAAACATGAGAGGGAACTTCTTTACTCTGGAGGTGACAGAGCACTGGAATGGGCTGCCCAGGGAGGTGGTGGAGTCTCCATCTCTGGAGACATTCCAAACCCGCCTGGACACATTCCAGTGCAACCTGCTCTAGGTGGACATGCTTTCACAGGGGGGTTGGACTCAATAATTTCAAGAGGTCCCTTCCAATTCCATATCATTCTGTGATTCTGTTGATCACCTCTGCTGATCTACAGCAGAGGCGTTCCATGACTCTTCAAAGAAACGCTTCCAGTTTCACATTTAAGTCTATTAAGCAGGGAAAAAAAATAAATCAAAAGAATCCAAGAATATCTCTGGCATAGCCGAAAACATGTGGTTAAACGTAAGCATTGTTAGGAGTTCTGCCATCTCTTAAAAATAACTCACTCTCTCCCAAAAGTGCAAAGGCAAATCTAGGAATGACTCCATAGTTGTCACCCTGGCCGTGGCTCGGAGTTGTTGATTTTGCAGGTAAGAGGTCATTCCTATGCCCAACCGGTCATTCAGTCCTTCTTTCTTACCTCTTTATCCTCCAAAAACCCACAAGCAACTCCAATTCCTACTCAACCAACCATGGGAGACATAGGTCAATCTCACCCTACTTACAGCCACGAGTAAATTTACAGACGTCAGTGACATCACTCTTGACTTAGAGCAGTACAACTGCCTGCAGAGTTGAACCCCAAAATCTCAAACCATTCAACTGGCAGTCAAAAGTCCTGTCCTGCAGCAGGGCCACAAGTGTGGATCTGAAGCAAGTTGGAAATGTAAGGTCATAAATGCTGGATGCAGGCATCACTTTGGGGATCATGAATTTGCAGGTGAAGTTGCCTTTACAGAGGATTGCTAGATTACCACAAGTTACTAGTCCCACAGAAGGATCTTAAAATTATACAAACAGAATAGGAATCCTCAGGAAATAAGGACAAAATCTGTAGCAATTTTATCAGGAGGAGAAAGAGATGCAAAATTATTTCCCGAATGTGCTTAGTGCTCTCTTTTTATTATTTAATCTCAGCAACAATACAAAATTTAACATTTTGGATCAAAATGTGACAGTATCCAAAATATGCCATGATACTAATAGATGCTGCAAAGCCATTTGTATTATAGTAGGGGTTTCCAGTTCCAGAAATTGATATTTTTAATTTTCCGATGCCATGCACCTCATCACACATTTTAGCATAAGGCTAATATTATGCAAGGCAATACTAAATATGAAATTTCTACTTGCCAGTTTACTTCCAGAAATATTAAAAAATAATCATGGAAAGGTCAGATTTGAATGCCTTATTGAATCATATTTGAATCTTATTCAAAAGATCCTTAAATTAGAATTCTATCTGCAGCACACATAACATCCTTTCCTGTCATTATATTTGCTAACTACTGCATAATTCCTTGATAATTACTCAGTCCTTAGATAACAGCAATCTGCTGCTATCAGACAAAATCCTCCTAAATCTCAGAGGCGTGAGAAAGAGTTCCAGTAACTTAAAATTATTCTTTCAGCTTAAAAAGTTATCTTCTTATAAATATCGTGAACTTCCATACGAAACACTTCCCATGAAGTAAAAAGAGAAATTACGTATGTTCTCTCTCAAAATCCAGCCTAGATATTCTTTGGGTGAAAATAACTGTAACCATCTCATAGTCTCTTTCTGCATTTGGTAATTATTTTTATCTCCTTTAAGTTCCCAGTATCGTGAATAAGACTTGGATTTCATGTTAGAACATAAAAAAAAAATACAAATTAACCATATTTAGATAATTTACACTGCATTTTTTGTGGCTTTGATAACATCTTGCTTCTTTTGTGTGACTGTCTCCAACACCTATTAGAGAAAGTCTCTACAGGTGAGACTTGGGGTTTCTTGTGATGCACATTCAGAATCTCCCCTCTTCTGTCAAGAATTTTGACTAAGATAATCTGTGTGCTCTCCCTTTATGGGTAATCAAGCTCTCGGTTTAAAATGAACCTGAAGGTTTTCTTTCATTCTGTTTAGTGTATGTTCACTTCGTGTAAGAGTTTTCACCTCCTACATAGCACATTTTTACACAGTGCCACTGAGATCAACTTGGGTTGACACAAGAGCTCTAAAAGAGGAAGCCCAAATTCTTCCCTACACATTGTGGAAGGAAAAATACCCATTCTGCCCACAAATAAAATTTACCTCCAGTTGAACTTTCTGTTCTAAGTTCTTGTAAGTTCTCTGCAGTAGCTCTTTTGTGCCAAGAACTCCATACCACATCATGTTTTTCGTCCGACTTCTGAAAACAGGTAGAACAAGATTCACATATTTAAATACACACACAGTGTATTGTATTCGTAGGATGAGAAAAAGTTAAGAAATTCAAATAAACAGATAAGGAAAAGAAAATAATGGAAATGCCTTGGCTCTGGTACTGACAATTATATTACCTGCACTTTTCAGGGTGCTCTTCTCGCTTGTTATTAAATTCTAGTGAAATTTTTGCATCTAACCCAATTCCAAAGTAGTTGTTCATGACACATTTTTCTGAATAACCCTCCCTGTTAGAAGAAAAGAGATAATTAGGTGCACATTTGTACAGTACCTAGACACACAGAGCTTTGGCCAAGATTGTGGTTGGTCTCAGAACAGATACATCAACCACAAGATGTCAAGAGATGTTACCTCTGAATCTCCCTGAGGAAACCCAAGGGCAGTCAAAGAGACAGACTTGCCGGTTCCTTCTTTGCAAGTGCAAGTTACTTCCAATAGGTCAAAGAAGAAACTCTGGCACATCCCCATCCTAGCACCAGCTCCACCATACCCAAAATTAACAGAGGAACATAAGGAAAGAACTGCCCTCTACACGGTTCTGAGCCAGCAGCACCACACTGGGCCGAGCACCCAGGCTGTGTTTAGGGTGTGCTGGTGCTCCATCTTTGGCTGATGCTGCCTCACTCAGCTTTGTCTTAGGGGAGTTGTGGCCCACAACCAAGACGCCATCGCTAAGTCTCTGCCAATGCTACACCCAGTTCTGGGAAGCAGAAAGTGCACAGGTGGGAAAAGACAAAATTTCCACCTCACTGCTCCAGTCCTTAAGGGGGACTCTCTTCTTCTTCTTCCTCCACTACATAGTGCCCAGACCTGCTTCAACATCATGCTGGTGGCTGAGCTGGTGTTCACACCAGTGGTTTGGGCAGGAAAACCCAGCTCTGGTGGACTGCTGTCCTCCTCCTCTCAGAGGCAATGAGCAAGGGGTAAGACAGCAAATGTCTCCTATCGTTTCTGCTGCCGCAAGACAATTCTGCACTACTCATAACTAAAAGGGCACTATATAACCTGTTTTCAAACTTTGAGGTCTACTGCCAAATGGGAGAGTAAAACAGAATTTCATAATGAAAAAACAAAAAGATTACCAAAAAAGTGAAAAAAAAAAAGCTTAAGAAAAGCAAACTGAAGCAAAACAGTAAATTTGGGGAAAAAAAATAATTTCTTACAGTGAATCTGGATCCGGGTCAATAAACGGCGTAGCACCAAATGGATCGATGTTTGCTAGCAACATTTTGCTAATAATTGAACTTCCTGCAATAGAAGCAGCTAGACCAGCCCTCAAACCTGATTTAAAGAAAAAAAAACACAAAACAAACAAACAGAAAAAAATAACAAAAAACCCAATTTGTATTTGATAAACAGAGAAACATACATTGTCTTAATATACACCACATACTGAGAGACAAAATATGCATTAAATCCAGATAGGGAATGATGGTGTTTCTATCTCAGTTTTTACCTATATGGGTTATCTTTTGAGGTCTCTGGCTCTCTTGAGCAGACAGACAGCTGTGCTGTGGTGTGGTGGCTGACTCTTCAGCTACCACCATTCAGAAAGAAAAAAACCAAAGAAAATTCAGGATTTCATGCCAACGCTCACTGGCTGGCATAGTAACCAAATGGGTGATAATATCCAAAAAGACTACTAGAGATTTTTATTTAGTTTAATTTTCACCTCCCAACTGTCCATAATTTTTCTTTGGTCCTTTCCTTTGTAAATATTCCTAATTTTTTTGCAACTGGAAGAGTCATAGTTTAATTTTACTTAATTTGTGGAAAGGCCAGAGCCTTGCCATAGAATCACAGAATCATAGAATGGTTTGAGTTGGAAGGAACCTTAAAGATCATGTAGGTCCAACCCCCTGCCATGGGTAGGGACACCTCCCACTAGAGCAGGTGGTGATGCCTACCTTTGATTTACATTGAAGTCACTCTGCAAAACACTGTGTAATGCACGTAAACAAAGAAAAGTACTTTGAAAAAGCTTTCACTTAGATTGACCTAAAGAAAAAATGCAGGCTCAGTGCCATTATGTTTTAACTATACTATTGAAGCTAATTAAAACAGTATTTTACTGCTGCTCCCTAGTATTAATTGCATTTGGATGAGAACAGATTTTTTTTAGCTGTTAATTGTATTTGGATAAGAAGAGATTTTCTTTCTACTGGTTTTACTGCACAGCAGCTTTGTGTAGTTTCGGTTATCCATTTCCTGAGAGGCATCTACAGACATCTCTTATTCAGAGGGCTGACCTTCACACAGCTCTGTTCCTCAGCTGCTTCATAGCCTCTACTGAGTAGAATGAATGATAGAAGGAGTTGGGGGTACAGGTGGATGAAAAATTCATCATGAGCTGGCAATGTGCACTCGCAGCCCAGAAAGCCAACTGTATCCTGAGCTGCATCAAAAGCACTGCGGCCAGCAGGTCAAGGGAGGTGATTCTGCCCCTCTGCTCCGCTCTGGTGAGACCTCACCTGGAGTACTGCGTCCAGCTCTAGAGCTCTCAGCAGAGGAAAGGCATGGACCTGTTGGAATGGGTCCAGAAGAAAGTCACGAAAATGATCAGAGGGATGGAGTGCCTCTCCTATGAAGACAGGCTGAGAGAGTTGGGGTTGATCAGCCTGGAGAAGAGAAGGCTCTGGGGAGAAGAGAAGGCTCTGAGGCTGTTCAAAATATAGAGGGGGCTTATAAGAAAGACTGAGAGACTTTTTATCAAGGACAAGGGGCAGCAACTTTAAACTGAAAGAGGGTAGGCTTATATTGGCCATAAGAACTTGTTACAATGAGGGTGCTGAAATACTGGCATGGGTTGCCCCGAGAAATTGTGGATGTCCCATCATTGGAAGTGTTCAACATTAGGCTGGACAGGTCTTTGAGCAACCTGATCTAGTGAAAGACATGTCTGCACATGGCAGAGGGTTGGACTAGATGACCTGTAGAGGTCCCTGTCAACTCAAACCACTCTGTGAGTCTATGATTCTAAGATCCCAAATTTCATTTTTCATCCTCCAGAATCAAATGCAACACTTCTGCTGCGTCTGGTGTGATGCCAACAATCAGGAACCCCCTATGTTATTTTGTATTTTCAGCTATATGATGCAACACAAAGATGTGTGTATCAGTTCAAACAAACTCGGGGCTCCTGGCATGAAGTAAAAATTATTTGACAAGCAGCAGGGGAACAGAAAGCTGTATTAAAGTAGTGTAAGGAACAGCGGGTTTCAGAATCATAATTACCTGGGCAGATAATTCTAGTGTTAAGCACTGGGAGGTTTTCTTTGCTTGCAGCCAAAGCTGGAGCAGAGAAAGAGCCTGTCTGAGATTGGATACCTCGGCTTGTACGTCGATCTGGAGATCTTGGTGCAGTTTTACCTGTGCAGAAGCAGTAAAAGTAAGAGCACTAATTAGACCTATTATGACATTACCAAATACATTGTTTTTACAGCCCTGGTCATATTTCAAAAGCATTAATTTAATATGTTATCATTCATGACAAACGTCCTTTGCTGTCACACCAGTTTTTCTTCTAAATACAGGGAAGAAAACTCAGAAGCAGATCAAGTGACAAGCACAAATTAAAATGAACAAGTGTGCATGGCATTCAATGTGACGAGTTCCCAATTTATGCTTCAAGCTACTAGCAAAAATTGAATTATACCCACCTTAAATACAATAGCATTGAAAGCTGTAATAAGCTTGATAAACACATTAATGAAGAAAAACATTTAAACTTAATTGAAAATGTATTTACTTATAAATATACCTATATTATATAGTTCTTTATCATTTGTAACACTTTTAATATCGATAAGCAAGCTTTTTAACCCATAGGCCATGAAAATACCTAATCTATTTGGTTCTAGCAGCTAAAATGGACCCCCTGCCTGCTTCAGGTTTCTGAAAAACCTACGGCAAAACTCTGACACCTTTATCTACAGCTGACCTGAAATCTGCAAGGGAAGGGAAAGCCATAATCAGACATTCTTGTCTTCTGCAGTTAGAGTGATCACGGGGGAGACTGGTTTACCATCATCTTTTCTTCTTCACTAAAACCCACAGCAATTCCTAAAATAATTCTAACTTATTCCAATTCTAACTTATTCGTTAAAATTCTCGACAAGCTGGATCAACAAAACCTTGTGACAGACAGCAAAGTCAGGTAGCTGATCAAGTTGTTGGTGACCAAAGCAGGTACTGGGCTCAGAAAAACGAAGGGGAAGTAAATCAAAGGGAAAGAGAAGGTGTTCACAAAGGGGAACTGGTGGCTCCATGAGGCCATTTATCCCTGGGGCTGCCTCTGGAGGTGATGAAGAAGGCTGGGCTTTTCAGAGGACTGACCTCAGCTGCTCTAATTTACTTTCCTGGCAGAACTTGTTTCATGCAGACTGAGAGAATATGATGGTGCCTGCTTTAGCCTGGGGAAGTTAATCTTTGTGAAATTCAGCCAGAAATTAGTGCCCCAGGGAAGAAAGTTCGGGTATTACCAAATGGTTTGCTATAGCATTTCCATGTGCATGTAGAAAGCTTTTGCACGCCAGATGATCATAGACAGACATTTCTTGGCTACCTCTGCTCCAAATTATCTCACGTGTTAAAACTACTTCAGCTGATGACAACTTCAGCCTTGACCATCTGAAGAAGCTCAGAACACAAGATGAAATTATTTCAAAGCGATCTGATATATTCCTCTCAAAACCTGAAAACTAATTTCACAAAAATAGAATGATTAGGACTAGCACCAAGAAAGCAGAAGACAAAAATCACCAGAAATGTAGTGGGAAGGATAAAATACACCCTTTTATGTGGCAGGAGGGGGACAGATCAGTTCACGTCAACCACGATAACTCAGCCTGAGAGCAACGTGGGTGTACTGTCTGAAGACATTAACAGAAAGGAAATGCAGAGTGGGAAAATCTAAAGACAAAGATAATAACAAGAACCAGGGGTTAGAAATGGTGCTCAAATCAATTCAGGCCAGGATTTGGGCATTCATTTCTTTTCTAAGTGATGATAACCTAGCACAGAACAGTCAATGAAAGGGCAAATTCTTCACCCTCTTGTATCCCAGGAATAAGATGACACATCTTTCTGGATGACTTCCTTACATCCAACTGAAATTATCAGACACAGGACAGGGATAAATGGGTGAAATTTTATGGAATTTTTTATATGAAAGGTCTGACCAAGTGGCCTAATAGCTCCTTCTGACTTTAGTATCTGTGTAACAGCCTTAGCAGTTATCACAAAATGCTATAGTATTGCATGATAACAATACAACACAATGATTTATATTTGTGCACAACAGAACACTGTAACATAAAGTTAAAAAAATGAAAAGAAAGAATAGCTGCAAGTGATATCTGACAAGCACTATTAAATATCTAGATGAAGGTAATTAACATATGGAAAAATATTATCTTCATCAAATGACCAGAAAGATCCTCAGAGGGTAAAATATACTATTCAGAATAAAATTAGCATTCATTTTTCATAAGCTACTGAAAAATTCACAATGCTATTCACACAGTCTGTTCTCTCTGTACTTGAGAACAAGGCAGTTATATTAAATAGGAAAATCAACAGAGCAGCTGCTCTTTATTTGACGGATGAGGCTCATGGGGATAACTGCAATAAAGATAAACTTTTGTTGTTCATGCTCTGATAAAAACAACAGAGCCCTAATGAGTAAAACTGATGTTTCCTTGCAGATAATTGAATTCATGTTTCATGCTTTGTCCCTAAACGCCCATCTTCCACTGACAGCATTAATATGCACTCTATTTCACACATATCAGATGTATGAAGAATAATACAGCTCCTCAATAAACGCAGAAATTGTATCACCAAGAAGCAAGGAATTTATATATATTTCTACATATGGATATACACGGGTGTATATTTTTATTTTATTATATATTTATGGCAGCAGGATAGAGTCATCCATAAGCTACTATTGAAACTCGACAACCAACAAGCATTGATTCCTATAATCAAGGGAAAAGGAGAGGGGCCAATGAAGAGACTTCCACTTCATATAGAAGACTTAAATATTAATTCTCTCTGTTCCAATAACTGTCTCAAGGTAAGTTCCCAGCTGAGACATCAGGCTTTTGTTGTCAATACAGTGAATAAATATGTCTGTTTCACACAATTTGAAAGCCCTTCAACAGAAATGACTGACAGATATTCCTATAATGCCTACATTCCTAAATGCCTACATTTAGGCCAGATATTCCTAAAATGCCTACAACTGAGGCATGGTATCACCACCATTACCTAGGTCCTAGTCCCTGCTAAGGTTCATGTAGGAAGGTGAGTGTAAACACTGGATTAAACACAGGCACTTCTGTCCCCAACAAATACCTTCTCACCTTTGTAAATCCTTTCCAAAAGACTGTTCATCTCATCTCCTGCATTTTTCCGTCAACTTCTATTTATTCACATCTATTAAAATTTGTGACTAGCTTCCAGTGAAAAAAACATGCTAGTATTTTTAATTATGGAGCCAACTACACTCCATAATGCAACTATAAAGAGACAGCATAACTTGGAATTATTTTATTCCCAATTCACTCACTTGATGGGGACTCAAGTTCCTTTGTATCTTCCTCTTTTTCCTCTTCTTTGGAGTCATCCAATTCTTTGCTATATTCTGTTGGGGATTGGTTCACTTGTTCTTCACTATGAGCATTCTGCTCATCCACAACTGCTTATTAAAAAAAAAAAAAAAGTTTCAAGATCTTCAAAGAAAATTTGCAAAAATAGAAAATTAACTTCATTTTTTTTCTGTAGCTTTAACTTTCAGCTTAAAAATACTAACAAAAGGTTTCTATTGCCAATTCAGTGAAATAGAATCTAGCAATCCTTTGCCCATTGATAGAGATTTACTGCCAGAAATTTTCTTTTTGTGGAGTATAATAGCTACAAAAGAAACACACTTGTGTATGTGCACACACGTGCGTACACACGTATTCATATACGCAGCCAGATAGTCATCAGCATCCAAACGAGCTGCATTTCTTTCCCTTGCAGCTTGTAATAAGCATATAATTGTGTCTACGTAAAAATGTAGAAATGCCAGGAAGGGTAATGATAGGACAAGGGGAAACAGTTTTAAATTGGAAGAAAAAAGATTCAGATTAGGTATCAGGAAGAATTTTTTTTACTATGAGGGTGGTGAGGCACTGGAAGAGGTTGCCCGGGGAACTTGTGGATGCCCCATCCCTGGAGGTGTTCAAGGCCAAGGCCAACCTGCTCTAGTGGGAGGTGTCCCTGCCCATGGCAGGGGGGTTGGAACTCTATGATCTTTGAGGTCCCTTCCAACCCTAACCATTCTATGATTCTATGATTCTAAATCAAGCTTTAATACTGAAAATTTACATAGCAAAGGAAAAAGACCGTTGCTGGTGTGCACCTTTCTCTGCTTGTTCGATGATCTGCCTCACAGCCTTCTTCAAGCTGTTCGCCCGCAGCATTAGCTGTTCCCTCGGTTTGAAGAGTTTCTGGGTGGAAGACTTTGAGACGCACTCCGCTAATTGCTCTTTACTTTCAGACAAGGATTCTTCACTCGAGAACTCCTCTGCTTCTTCTTCCACGATGGGGGGAGTGATGCCTGGGAGAATGGGAGCAGCCTGGGCTTCTGTGTGAAGAGCCTGGAGCAACAGATCTAGCTTCTCGTTTAACTCGGTGCACTAAGGCAAAGCGGAAAAAGGGTTTAAAATTGTCTAAGTGTTTACATCACTGTCTATGTAAAATCCAAACCCAGCTTCAGTATTTCATAATACCAGATTATGAGTAGGTCTGCATGGGTTTTTGCAGATTTTATGACACTCAACCAGACTACAGCAATTACAACATTACATTAACGTTATTTTAAAGAGCAATTTATAATATAAAAAGAACCCCTACACTCAGACTAATATAAGACACAATGCTAAACTCAGCCTGCCACATACCTAAGGTACAGATTAGATCTTACTCCTCTCCCAACAGCCCAGAGAGAACCAGCACAGATTTGCCCCTACCCACGTGCACTATAACAAATTATGGGTGCTCGGTACCCCAACTTGGTGAGACAACCTATGGCTACATGCCCAGCTGTTAGACTGAAAACATATGGTTTGGTTTTGGGTCGGTTATTTGTGTTTTGGTTTTTTTTGCCACACAGCTGTACATTTAAGCAAGTGAGCTGTCACAGAGCAAAGAGGCTCCAGCCATAACCAAACACTGTCAAACACCTCTACCCCTAATGGAGCAGTTACTCTCTAGGTACAATGGAAAAGAGCTGGTTTTCTCTGCTTAAGGGAAAGGAAACCAATGCTGTTTAGCCCTGGAACAGTAAAAAAGAAAATTAATTTTCTAAGCCGTGCAGTGAATAGAAACATGAACCAGGACCTGCCATTTAGAAAGTACATTTCCTCACTCTGGCATTGTTAGTGATTTTGTTTTCTTCTTTTCTTTTCAGCTCATGTAAATTCTGTGCTTTATACCAAATCCTTCTGGTTTGGGCTTTTTTTTTTTTTAATGCTTTTGCAACATGATCTCTACAATTTACAGCTTAAACCATTATTTTTAACACTGTAGTCTCTCTTCCCTTCATTCTCCTAGCATATTATCTCTTCGCTATCCCATTTATTTTTTCCTGTAGCTAACTCAATCCCTTTCAGAGAAAAGTGTAAGTCCTAATGCAGAGTATTTCCATTTATCTCTATGTACGTTACCATGTACTTTATCCCTTCTGAAGGAAAAAAGTGTAAACAGAGTTTATAGACATCTTACAGACAGTTTGGAAATAAGAGTAGAAATTTAAAGTCATTGGTTGAAATGGAAGCAGAGCTGGGCATCCTGGAGAGGTTTAAAAAAATTAAACACCCATGAGCTATAACACAAACCCACAACTTTAAACTTGAAAATTGTTATTGTCTTACTTTAATGGCCATGGCATCAGCTTCCTCTGCATTGTCCATTGGTTTTTCATAAGTTTTCCCTATTTTGGCAACAAAGTCCTTTACGGTTTCACATAATATTCTTCAGAGAAAAATAGGAGAGGGGAGAAATCAAATTAAATTAAATAGATATGTTTTGAATACAAAATTCTCGTGGTAATTGGTTTATGTGCATGACAATTGGTTTACATGCATACTGCTGTGCACCACTCATGTTGGGAACTGAACTCTGTGATCACGCTTGTAAAGCAGATGATACTCTTTTCCATGGCCTGCCAAATTCAAGCGATAAGCTTTACAAAGAAAAAAAGAAAAAAAAAACTCTTCCTCCCTTTTTATGTAAGCCTTTGCACACACTGTATCTAAGTCTTTCATTTCTAAGAGCTGAAACAAACATGACTAATTTTATTCATTCCCTCGCTGATACACCTCCCGTACCCAAGTCGTTAGCAAACTTGCCTTCACTTTGATAACTTCAAACACAGCCTTGCAAATTGCCACATGAAGATGGAGCCCAGAAACCATGGAGAAAATCTACTGACTTTAAAGGGGCACTTCTTGGACAAGAGCCTACGCTTTTGAACCCCAGCTGCCCCTGAGGCGGATCTACGCGAGCTACAGTGGCTGCAATGAATTTTCACTGTGTAAATCACAGAAAGACTTGGGTTTGATTACCTACACTGCAGACAGACAGCAAACACTAACGAGGTGTGGATAATTGCTTAGTACTGTTCATTTGGTTGAGATTTATTTGACAGAAATTGAATAGATTTAACAAGATACAGACCCAATTTAAAATTTGGAGTTTTAATAATACCCTGCAGTTTAATTCTCAACGTGTGGCATGTATACTTTAAAAATGAAATTTTATTAACTGGCTTTTTGCAGAAAAAAAAAAATAGATATAATGACGTTCAGACATATTTTTGAAGATACTGTCACTGGTCTTCTCCGTATCGCAAAATGTAAGATTTTTCACAGCGAAAGTATGGACAGAATACTTCTGATTTCCGATGATGTTCATGATTTGCCAAGTAATTATATCTCATTTTTAAGTGTTTCGGTTTTGAGGAAAAAAACCCCTGTTGCCTGAGGCCACAGTTTATTGAATTGATAGAGACAGAGCTATGACAAAACTACCTAGCTGAAGTTCTGCTTCCCATGGGTGAAGTTGTTTGTCCTCTTAATAATACAGACATTGAGAAAGCAAAACATAAAAAACTTAACATGAAGTAGATTGCATATTTGCATTAGTATCAATAAATTTCATATTTAAGCTGCATACAGATTTGGAGTGATTTAAAATCACTTTATATTAATATATAAAATATATGTTAATATATTTTTTAAAAATGCTGATGTGTTGAGAATGAAGATATCCGTGACAATTGTACCATACAAAATTTTTGCAGACAAAACATCCTCTCTAAAATATATACATCAAGATACAACAAGCCAAGCTAGCTGGGCCAGCCATAAGAAAATCAGGCTTAGGCAGAAGGTTATTACAGTTATGATGTTACACAGGGGATTTAACCCACACATCGTACATAAAACCAATCAACTCACTTGGCAGATGATATGACAACTGAGTGCTGATCGGAATTGAGAATTTTTGCAAGATGAGCAGCAACTGAGTCCTCATAAGCAGATATCTGAAAACAGAGAGAAAAGAGACTTAAACTTCTACCGGTTTCAGCAGTTTAACACCAAGTACTGAGTTAAAACCCCGCCAAAAATAGCAGGATTTCCATTTCAGGTCTAATACAAGGACAAGCAGCTGGCAATGCAGATTCTATCTGCACATAGTATTTAATGTACCAGATTTTTAATATTCAAAGTAACACTGTATCTGAGAACTTGATCCACAGCTCTTTTCCTCCTGGAGAGAAAATGTTAAGTTATTTCTAGGCCAAAAATAGTCCATGAGGCAGAAAAAAATCTACTTTTTAAAAGATTTATAACAACCTAAATTATTATGATCGAATATCTTGTATTTCTAAAACAAGCAAAGTTTCCCTTAAACTAAGCTGCTCAACTAAAAATAAATCAAAAGTTTGCAGTCATAGTTCTGAATTTTCTTTTTACTGTCACATGGGCTCTTACTCTCCAAACACCCCTTCTGACAAAGGCTGCTACACTCACATAATGTTATCAAAACCCATCTTTAAGGAGAAAACCAATTAGGGCTTAGACCTTACAAGAACGTCTGGGAGAATGAGTGTGTGTGTTGTCCATCATTTCTTGCACAGAAGAACCATAAATCCTAAAATACTCAGGAAAAGATTTGGAATGGATCAGATTTACATCGTCAGGCACTATACCCTGTCTTAAAATAGGGATGGATCTGACCTCAGTTTTAAGTAAAAAATTCTAACCAAATTCCAAATCTAAAGGTAAAAATAAATGCAGTTCTGAAATTTTCTAACAGCTTCCTTTAAGAATCTCTTAAAATCTCTTTGTGTGTTTTTGCCCTTGATATGTAGCAGATCGATATACCACTCTTTTTTTCTCCCCAAACCCAGCCTTAGTTGTAGAACTCTGACAATAAATCAATTTTCATTTCAAGGGGAAAACCGATACGTAACCACCCGATTTGTAAGAATGAACTACTGTTGTTCAAACATCAGTGTGAAGCTTCTGGAACTAAACCAAGTGAAACAGGTCTCCTGAAACTGTAGGAAAGAAAACAAAATATTGGATGCGTACTTTTATTTACTTTTTGAACTGCGCTTTTTGAAACTACACAAAAAACGATTAAAATAGAGATTGAACAGGGTACTCAAAAGAAAACAGCTTTCTCCAACTCCGAGTAATGGCAGGTAACTATAGCCTACAAAACCAATTTTCCAAAAAAGAGGTTTTGTATGAGCGGTTCCTTCCATTTTTGGGAGAGGCTAAGTACAATTTCCAAGACAGAACTAACTAGAACAAAATGTGTATTTTTTCCTTTACAAGGTGAAGATACCCTCGAAAATTTTAACAGTCCTGCAAAATTAGGGAAGATGAAGCCTTGGTGCAACACTGGAAGCAGAGCCGTGTACAGAGCAACCCCGTAAAAATCCCAGCCAGTAGTGCCCCAGCCTGTTTGCATCTCTATATCCAGCAAGCTATCTAAGGTTATAAACTCCTTGCCAATTAAAACAGACGGAATTATTAAATTATTCAAGAACCACCTGCTTAATTATTGCTTCTCAAGTATTTTTGAGCTAAAGTTGACGTGCATTAACTTTCTAAAGGAATGTATTTTTTTCTCATTTTTAGTCAGACATTTCATGCCAATTAATTTGATTAAAGCATCTCCCTCTGCCTAAAAATCAAAACCTCATGAGACAGTAGAAGCACAAGTCTAGTCTAAAAGATAGACTAAGCTTTTCTTTGAGGTCACTTATGATTTTGGGTTCTCTGAAAAAACAAAGAGAAAATGGGGTGGTATCACTTGGCGTAACTCACTTTCAGAAGCTGCAAAAAGATTCTTTCTTTCTTTTTTTCTTCTTGCCTTCAAAATACTGAGTTTTTTCAATGCTTATTCCAACTCCAAACTTTTATAGATATATAAAAATAATATTTTCATATATTTGTGTATTTTAATAGTATACCTAGTATTACTATATAATAACATATTATTGTATGTAAAATAATATAAAATATATTCTTATATAAAATACTGATATATAACATATGATAATATAACAATAAAATGCTCTATTATATAAGAATATATAATATATAAACTAATATATATAAAATATATTTTTGAGGAAGAAATTTTTCTGACTGGATACTCCTTACCTTCATTTATTTTTGGCAAATAAAACAGAACTGGGAACCCTAATTACTTGAGATACACACCACGAACAGACGTTAACTCATCTCAGTTAGCAGATCACAAATCCTCCGTTTCTATTTCTCACCCAGGCGCTTCAATTCTAAATATTGTCATCCCAGAAGCTCAAATGTAAGTATACGAAACAAAAAAAGTGAAAGTTCACCTGACATTCCTCTGACTCTTCTGCAGTCACTGGAAGAATAGAAGGCTTTGCTGGTAATTTCAGTTCATATGACATTATACTCCACCTACAAGAAACATAACAGCTTTAGATTTTCCAGATTAATAGTTTTATCTTTTCTTCAACATATCAACAAAAAGAAAATTCAGTGTCACACTGATTGTTAAAACAAATAAACTAACAAAGCATCTTAATTTTTAATTGTATGCTAATTGAATATAGGGGAAATAATTGAGACTAATGATAATAATTGGTTTTACTGCTCAGATTTTTTGTTAATGATTTGATGATGAACCTTCTTTGTGAGCAAATCATGAGACATTCAATTCAGGCAAAACATTCATGGTATAAAAGAATTCATACAAACAAACAGCAGAAGTCAAAGGAAAACAGAAGTGTTCCTAGAGAAAAAGCTCCAAGGTAACACCAGCTTTTCATCTCAACTAGGGGAGGGAGGCATGAGAACAAAGCAAATGGTTAAGTATCTTCACTGATATAGATATACTCTTGCCCCTGGTAAAGGACAGTACTTCACAGGATGGGTAGTATGAAACCACTGAGAGCAACATCCTTCAAAGCCTGCTGAAAAGAACAGGCAATCACTGCAGGTGGCCTTGGGAGCGAGTCTACTGAAATTAGAGCAAAAAATGACACTGAGCTCTTTTCAGTACAGAAAAAGACAAACATGATTTAATCTACAAGTATTTCAGAATGCCCAGACCTACAATTACTTCTAAGAATCAGTAACAAGCATTTCTACCTGTGCTTTGCTGTAAAATGATCAAGTAGGCTGCAGAAAAGCTTAAAATAAAAACGGACTCTATTTAATTTAAAAAAAACCCTAAAGCAAAATCCTCTATGATCACATTCAAGTGTTTGTAACTAGAGGAAGAACAGAAACACCCATGAGAGAAAGGAACAGAGTAAGAAATACTCCTGCCAAAAAGAGAGTGCTACACCTTCATTGGTATGACACGATCATCATCTTCCAGGACTCTTTTGAAATGGGGATTGCTCCTTTGCTTTCTGGATGGAATCCACACAAAACAAGGAGTGGGAAGATCTCTTGTTTTTTTTCACCAGGAAAATGCCTCAAACAGAAATATTAGTAGTGGATCAAGCCAAAGATCCAGTTAGCCCAGCACCTTGTCCACAGCTGATGATGAAGGGTGAAAGCACACGATGTGACTTTTCCCTGCATCCAAGGACAGAAAGCTCAGGTGTTTCCTAAATAAAGATGCCACCTTTAATAGTATTTAATAGCGTGCACAGAGTCCATAAAACTGCCCCAAAGGGTTTTGAATCTATCCAATTTCTTAATGCTTACTACTTCTTGTAACAGGCAGTCATGCAGCTTCATCAGTTACGAAATAAACTGTCACCTTCTCTTCACCTTTTGACAACAAGCTTCCTAGTTTTATCTACCCCTCTCCCTTCTTCAGCTTCAAAAGGACGTTGAAGAATTGTCCCCGTTAGTGCCTCGGCTTGCCTTATGATTATGACCTGCACCCTAAAAACCCAAACCACTGAAGATTAAGTCTCTGGGATGGATTTAGGCCACAAGAAACCCCAACACATACAATTTGCATCTCGTAGTAAATCATGTATATGCAAGCCTAGGTTTACCTGTCTAACATTTTCGTGCTGGCTCGTTCTAGCTTCTCCAAAATCTGAGGAAGTTGCGTATCATCATCACAGGATCCTCCCCAGCCAAGGACACGAGCGAGGTCATTTCCAGTACCAAGGGGTAACACTCCTAACTGACACTGAAACACAACACAGGAGCAAATCTACTATTGAAAACTAGAAAGAAAACAGTACAGACTATTTCCAACACTCGTTATTATAAGCAACAAATGTTATTTATATAGCTGATGTCTAAAGCTTGTAAATTCGACTCGTCCTGTTTAATACCAGTGAAAATTTTCATTTAACAGTAACCATTGAGTTTGGCCCATACACAGAGATATGAAAAAGTCAAGGAAAAGTCAAGTCAAGGAAAAATAAGCATACAAAATTAAGTCTAGTCAGTATAGTCAAGGAAAGTAAGTATGCACACTTGCCTGTTTGTGCAAGCTCAGCTTATCAATTTCTGACAAGACCCAACCCACGCTTCCATCGCCGCCACACACAAGAATCCTGAAGTTGTCAAACTTCTGAAATAACCGCAAACTGCAGAGAAAACAGGCTGTTAGAGCCAGTTATGTCCATTAGGGAGAGAGCAGTTACATTCATCAGCAACTGTTACAAGAAAATACGGTGCACAGCACCTCCTTTTATTGTTCTGGGGTATGCGTATACAACCATCTGTTTAATAAACCTATCTGCATCACATCTATTGCTGTATATTTCACTTACACTGACATTTCTGATAAATAACATGCCACGTTTTACTTTAAAAAATTCCCTTGATATTGTTTTCAGGATTTTATTAATATCGGGTTTTAATTTTTTTGTTAATATTTAAAAAAAAAAATCTAAGTTATGAAATTGCAACTTCTCTATGCTTCCCATTTCAGCCAAAAGCACAAGGCACCACGGGGAATTTTTCACGAGAGGAGGTTAAGACACAATGAGAGGATGTGCTCCACAACACAGGTGGGCTTTTGCCAACGCATGACTACCTAATTGCAAGGACCATTGCAGGCAATTATTACACATAAAGTGATCACAACAATATAAGACAAATACTACTGGTATTTTATGTTAAATCCTTAAAGCCGTATCTTGCTTTCACTTTCTACGGTTCTTCCTCCTGCTCTCTGACTTTTAACACCTCCAGGATACAACACTTGGGCAGCACAGAAAAGGAGGACAAGAGAGACAGAACAAGCAGAAAGGTGAGAGACAGAGGAAAGGGGAATGAGATGAGAAGACACAGCCAAGAGGTAAAAACAACAGGGATTTAAACTTTAAAAAAAAAATAAATTGGAAAGTAGAAACTCTTAAAATAATAAAAATAAAGATGTTTACTTTTAATGCATGTTATTTTCCAGAATATGTATCATCTCAGAACTATTTCTAAAAAGCAACATATTAAGATCACAAATTTTTTAAGCACTTAGATTTTTCTAAAGAAGTAACATCACTTGTATATGATAGGCAGATACCTATTCAGAACAAAAGATGCAGATATTTAAGGAAAAATACGTTGATAACAGAACAATTTCTTCTACCCTGAGAAAAGAGTGAAAAAACTCTAGAAATACACTATCTCTAAGAATGCAATTCTGTTTTTTAAATCAACTAGACGAAAAAGAAGACATCAGCACGACTTGACAGAATAACTGCTAAGGACCTCTCTTTGGAAACTGGGAAAAATATTTAAAAGCAACCAACCTGACCTACAATTACTGCCTAAAACCAAAGTAAGCCTGCTGAACCATGCTGCTGGTAGGTCCAACTAGATGAAGCAAAAAAACTTGTAGACAGACACACACATTTTTTCAGACTGTCCTCTCTCAAAAATTACCTCTTCAACTGAGAAGAACCTTCTTTACTTTTACCCACCATCGTAAATACATGTACAATATGTTAGCCAGAAAAGGACTTTGATTAAACTCATATTTAAATCAGGGTTATAATGAAAAGAGCATTGCAACTTAGAGTTAACGTAACATGTCCATAACACAGTACTAACTAAAAAAAAATCCACATCTGTATTCCATTGTGTTTATATTATTTGCCCACTGCTTGAACTGAATTTTTGTGCATTTGTTTCATCTACATTTTTATCATGCAAGCATAATTCTGCATCTGTGCAAAACTTAGTGTTTCTAGTTGCTGTAACTGATATTAATAGGCCATTTAACTACAATGCTACATCTGAGTGGAATTAAGTTAGGCAACAGAAAAATGTGCATGAATTTAATCTTTACAAATGTGCAAAGACGCTTGGGTTGTGGCCACTGCTATGCAAATTTCATCCCTATCTTTCCAACAACCAACCCTTAGATTTTGTAGAATTCGTGATGCTTTTAATTGTGTTCTTGCTCCAAATTTTGTGAGATGCTTATTCTCTTGATCATTTGCATATGTTGCCTAAAACCGTATTTTGAATGTAGTTTTGCAATGACAGAAGTTTTAGTGTACTGTCCATCACACTCTACAGACTGTCCCACTGACATTTGCGTCCAAATTCAAAGAATTCAAAAAGATAGAGAATACATTTAGACAATAATTTTATTCCATAGCTATTCACAACAATGTCACAGGAAGATCCAAATGACACATATGAAATGGAAGAAAAGCACCCAGGCAACTGTGCATAAAGTCCCTGATTCAGGAAAGCATCTTAACATATGTAACAGGTTTGAATCTTACCAGTTAACAGAAGTCAAAGCTAGCCAAAAAGCCACAAAAAACTTGAGCTGATGGGGTTTGGGGTTTGAATTTTCAAGTGAGTATTTTTTTTTCCTACAAAGAAAATATCCTACAATCCCTTCACCCACCAGAATTCCTCCTGAAATCCTGTTATCTATTAGATCTTAATTAGGAAGTCACGGTAGATATTGATGATAGAATTATAGCAAGGATGGGACAACACAACACTATGCTTTACACTAAATTCCTTTGTGGAAAGGATTGCTCAAAATTTCCAAGGTCATTACCCTAAATGAGGTCCTCCATTCATTAAATCGAACACCTGAGCTGGATTTAATGACTGTTTGAATCGACGAAGAAACTTTACTCCCTGATTGTCTCCACTCTTTGAGTTAACAAAAACTAAAAGAGGACTGGCACAGGATGGCGGGCATGTGGCTTTCCAGAAACCTGTGAACATAGGTAGAAAGAATGAAATAAATAAGGCTTTCTAATATGAACAACACAAAAAGAAATCATGGGAAAGAGGAAGAAAGGGATGAAGGACAAAAGGAGTACATTTTATCTTCCATAATGTAAATGCTAAATTGAATATCAGCCCTGCAAGAAAACGTAATTGCTCAAGATTTACCAGTTCATTTTTTTCTTTCAGTATTTTCAGTGTCTAGATTTAGTAAAATCCTGAAGACAATAGTCTTATTGTTTTTGAGAGTGTTATTAACCTTCTAGAATACTTGTCCAATCTTGTCTTTACAGCTTATTACATAAATATATATTTCAGTTACAATTGTTTGGTTTTTCATCTGATATTTCTTTAACCTTACTGGGTTGAACTGGATTACCCACATCTGTATGAGCTTTCTAAAAATACTCACAGATTTTAAAAGTTACTGTACTCAACCGCTCCCATCTAAGACTTCACATGAGAATTTTTTTTTTTTCTCAGACTGAGGTTATACTATTAATTGTAACAGAATCCCTGAACAAGAGACCTTCAGCTGTGATTCAAAGCTTATTAAAGTCAATGCAGGTCTCAACTGATTACATCAGACTTTCTCTAAGGCCCTTAGCAAGTACTTCTAATAGACATTGTTGTCACTAACAGCACTCCATGGAAGTAGTGGTTCCTCAGCAACACTTCAAAATCAGACATCACAGGTATAGGTTTAGACTATGTTTCTTTCAGTCACCTAAAAAAAGTCACTAAAGCTACAAATAAAAAAATGGCATTAAAGGATGCTAATTTAATTCCACATTATCATAATGTATAATTTAAAATAAGGTTTGATTGATTTATTTACATGCCAAGCAAAATAATTTGACATATGGAACAACCTTCCTAGCATGATGCTCTGGTCTGAGACACCACATAGCAAGTAAACAGAAAAGAGTGAATATATACAGCATAAACAATCACTTCTACTAACTTCACACAATAAAATTCATTAAACTCTGTTAAAGTTGTTGGTCTACAGTTGCCATCAATACAAACTATAAAACTAAAGCAGTTAGATTTCATGATACTCCTCATTAAATCCACTCCCTGCCTTAAGTGCAGTCTCCCACTGCTCACACATCTCTGCCCTCACCCACCAAAGAGCACCTCTGAGTATTGAACATTTGCTGGGGTGTTTTTATCAGTGTGTTGCAGGATTCTTACACTGCTTATATCTAAAAGAAATGTAGAGAGACTATGGAAGCGATTCTTCCCTTTACCCTGGTAAAGTAGCTGTTGGATCTGAGCCGTTCAGCGAGCTCACCTCTGCATAAAGCAAAGTTATCTAGAATTTGAGAACTCATAGAATAAGTGATGCATGTCAGGCAGGCATCAGCACACTTCATCTGAGAATTCTGGTCATTCACCTGAAAAGTTTCCAAGGCTCATAAATAAAATGGGAGAAAATTTCTAGGGAGGGAACTTCCAAAAACATTTTTTGAATCCTGTCGATCAGATGCTTCTCTAAAAAGCTACGCAGAAAATTATACTATTCTGGAAATTTGAAGACTACGTCCACCTGTTCAGCAGAAGGATTTTAGCCTTGTTTAATTATACAGATCTCACTAGGCACTGCAAGTCCAGAGCTAGCACTGAACACACTACAATACTACGTACCATCAGAGTCTATACTGTTTAGTGCTGTTGGAGGTATGATCGATACCTTACATTGGCCAAGCGGACATTTACGAGGATACAGATCTTTACAGGCAGTGTGAACCTACAAAAGAAACAAATAATTATTTTCCCTACAGTGGAACTGATACAGTATCTGTGTAACAAAAATGGACTAATTTACATCATTGAAATGCAGAGGGAAAAAGAATGAGACAGGAAAAAAACCCAAACATAAGTGGGGTTGAACATAAGTTCAACCACAAAGGCTTGTTACTCATTCCACAACACGTAAGGTTGGAGTACTTCATCTTTAGCCACCCCGTCCTTTCAAGGGAATCACTTGCCTCCATCCATGAACAAGGGAGGACCAAGTTCCCAGCAGCCAGCATCTGGCCTGGGGGCAGTGGGCACACTGTGCACGTGCAAAGCAAAAGCTCATTACATCCCTGATCCACCTGGATGTTCTGGAAGATGTATTTGCACTAAAGCCAGCACAGCTACCAAGCCAGATCAACCCACCAAAGGTGAATCCTGTAAACTACGTGTTGTAGAGGTTTCTTCCTTAGTTATTGAAAAAAACAAACAGGCACACGCAGAGGGTGCTGCACTTCACCTAAATTTCAAATCACCTCTGGAGATCCCAATCATTTCCCACCATCCACACTCAAAGCCTCAGACATCTATATCCCAAAAGCCTCAACAATAAAAAAAACCTGCTGATTTTCACTTCTATAGCCTAGCGTATGAAACCCACCTTTTTAGACAAGCTAAAAAAAACAAATCAAAGAAAACTGTATTTGGGGGAAACAGTAATATGCTATAGAATTTCAATGAGCAAACTACAGAGTGTCATTAGAAAGTCAACTTCAAGATTTTGCAGTAATAAAAATAGTATGACAATATTATTAATAAATTGTAATAAACATTAATATTAATGAATATTAATAACACATTATTGCAGCAACATCTATGATAAAAGAGGCAAGAAAGTAACATATGATTATCAGGCATCCAGAACAGGCATCTGAACCTTCAGTTATCACTTAGGAGAAGGCAGAGAAAACACATTGGATGACAACACCTATTAAAGAAAAGCTGCATCTGTGGGTGTATTAAAAATTAACTGAAGTAAGTATGACAGTCATGAGAAATTAGGAACGTTAGAGAGACCTGAGTTTGCACAAGCTGCCTGCTCCTACTTAATCCAAAAGCACGGTTATGAAATGACAAAAGAAAAATAATGGCAAGCAGTAAAGCTGGCAAAATCCTAGGCGCTTGGACGTGGTTCATTGTACCTACCATAGCTTTACACCAAAGGCACTTCCAATCTTGCAGGCGTAAAACACTGCCACAAGTCTTGTCGCAGACTGCGCATTTGGCACTGACGGGCAGGTTGCCCTCTAACCACTGGTGAGGCATCGCTATCTGTGAGGAAGCAGTCACAGAAGTTAAATATTCAGAAATTAGAGGCTTGTCCCTCAAATAACGGTGGATTTAAACTATTTCGCGTAGCTCTGCCGTTTCATTAAAGAAGCTGGTATGGCTGACCAGTATAAGGGACACTGATACGTGCAATGCAACAGCTATGAAGGTGGACTGTGGTGGCGTTTCACTTGCCAGGCAAAAAAGGTGACAGCTGAAGAAGGGAGACACATCTCATTCAACTATTCATGGTACTACAATAGCAACTGACTACAAAACAACAGCACAGTTAAATCTAGAGACTCTGTAACACAAGTAAGTGTCCATTCCCTAAATGTTGACTACATGCCAGCAGGTCGAAGGAGGTCATTCTCCCTCTCTACTCTGCACTGGTGAGGCCACAACTGGAATACTGCATCCAGTTCTGGGCTTCCCAGTTCAAGAGGGACAGGGAACTACTGGAGAGAGTCCAACGTAGGGCAACAAAGATGATTAGGGGATTGGAGCACCTCCCTTACAAGGAAAGGCTCAAGGAGCTGGGACTCTTTAGCCTGGACAAGTGAAGACTGAGAGGAGACCTTATTTATGTTTATAAGTATCTGAAGGGTGAGTTGAAGGATGTTGGAGCCGGACCCTTTTCAGTGGTTTCCAGCGATAGGACAAGGGGCAACGGGCTCAAGCTGGAACATAGGAAGTTCCACTCAAAAATGAGGAAGAACTTCTTTATGGTGAGGGTGACAGAGCACTGGAACAGGCTGCCCAGAGGGGTCATGGAGTCCCCTTCTCTGGAGATCTTCAAGACCCGCCTGGATGCAGTCCTGAGTGATGTGCTCTAGGCCTTCCTGCTTTAGCAGGGGAGTTGGACCAGATGATCTCTAGAGGTCCCTTACAACTCTGACAATTCCGTGATGACACAAACCAACTAAAATAACTACAATTCAGAAGAATGGGTAGGACAGCAGAATATCTCTGTGGCTTTACGTACCCCCTTTGTCACCATGGCTGGTAAGTCACAGCTCTATAAAGCAGTCCCTAAATGCAGTGCAAAGCTTCACTCAGTGCCCTCTTCCTCCCTTTAACACCACATCCAACTCCATGCACAGATGGAGTGACACTGAGTGTGCAATTCACTAATAACACTAACCTTCTAGGAAGAAGTTTCAAGCCAGTGGTTTGTAAAAACAACCCAGCTATGATAATAAACCTTTGACAAGCTTTTGTCATTTCTCCTGCTAATTTTAAAATTCCTGCTCTTGTTAGTTAAAAAAACAAAACAAAAAATTAATCTCAGTGAATTCCAAGCAGGCCTCCTGGAGAATAACTATCAGTAAGGAGGACACGAGATAGATTGCCAAAACAGCATGGTAACAGTATAAAATACCACCTTTGCTGAAGGGCAGCAGGAACTTCTGGGAGCAATTCTCCAGCTTCAGAGTTTCTCTGCATGTGGCCTTTAAAATCCTGTAACTCAGCTGCAATCTAGCGCCCACAGATACTAAACTTGTCTTGTGAGATAGGAATATAACTTTTGTTCCAAATACCAGGCTAATCTTTGAAAAGTGCTCAGGAATGTAGCCACCTACTATTAACTTCAATGGATCACACAGCCATGTTTCTATGCTTAGCCTTTTTTTTTTTTTTCCCCATAAGGAAGAAACAGGTTTGGGAAATACTGTAAATATGAATAGTACTTACACCGTCTTCATCTTCAATGATGTCTTTTCCAATTGAGGCTAACGTAGTCCATTTGCAGTTATTTGTTGCTCGGACAGCACATCTTTTATGTGCTTTAAACTTACACACTGGAAGGCACACATAAACATGCATACAGCGTTATTTGTTGTATTTCAGTGATACATATCCTTTAAAAAACTAAATACAGATATGCCCTAAAACAGCCAAGTATGTGTCACTTAGTGACATGCACACATGACACACCCCAACTAAAAGAAAATTCAATTCATAATCGCTGAAGCTTTAATTCCCTAAACTGGGTTTACCTGTTTAGCTGTAGCCCATGTTAAGTGTGTCCTCAAATCCGCATCAGTCCCCTTTTTTTTTTCAGGTGCAATGCAAGGTACTAAGGTACAAATATATCTTTTGACAGTGTTTTCACCTTTTCTATTCCTCCAGTGACACAACTCAGAAGCATTTTGCTTCAGGAGCTCTGTTTCTTTGCTAAAAGAATCCCTGTTGGGCACCGTACTGTGCCAGTTTTCCCAGAAGCTGAGAAAGTGAAAGGTTGGGTGGTGATATATTTATTCAGGATACTGGTGGTTACAGTATTTTCCAAGAGGCTACATTAAGTGAGGAAGAGCCCGACTTCTTACTGGATTATTTATTTAAAAAATCTACTAATTGGAATACTCAGCACAAGCGCGTAGTACCGGCAGACATTTTGACAATCTAATAACTATTTGTATTTTGTTCAACTCAATTAATATGACTAGTTAATGATATCATATTATACCAAACAGACTGATGCGTACAACTGTGGGCATTTCTGTTACTGGAACTGCATGACATCACTCTATTTAGAGTGCATTATACAAATTATTTTGGCAAAGACCATTAAAGGTTTATGAGAACTAGCCAGCAGACCAGAAGTAGTAGCCTCTTTTCAAACAAATATTTGACAGGAAACTATTAAAAGCTTTGGTCCATTGTTTGTCCACCATTAAAAACATTAAGCCATGGTACAAAAGGTCTTGTGAATCATAAATTTCTCATTTTAATTCCACTGATACACTGCCAGATCAATTTAAAAAGTGAATTGAGACTTATGTAAGCAACATCTGAGTTTGAGAGCAATCATCCCCGTTCTGGGTGACGTGTGAAAGTATGTGCTTAGCCCAAAGAAAGCGAAGGAACCAGAAAAAGGAATTTTGTTGTTTTTACAGTAATTCCCCTGGTATTTCAAAAAGTAGCATTCATAGGCCTGAATTGTTCAAATATCCCATATTACCCAACTAACAGGGTAGGTTCACATTTTCAAAATAGCTCAGCATCATATTGTGTGTTTTCCAACCTCAGCTGGTTCCAAGCATCTAAAGAAATCAGCTCTCACAGAAGCACAGCAATAAAGGCTGTACTTTCAAAAGTGATGCCCTTGTGTAGTTTTGCCCCTTGAATGTTTTGGAGAAGATATGCCATCCTCATATGCATAAATGAGATGCATTTGTCTTTGCTATGCAGATCAAAATACAACAACTCAGGGATGTAAGGCAGTAAGAAATCCCAAATAACTACGGCACAGCAAAGTAAGGGTATTTCCAAATCCTATTGAGCTACGGTTCAGCAAGGTCTCAGGGCTGTATGTTCAACCTCTGCTCTTTCAACAAGGCAAGGACCAATTGAAACCCAGGATTCTGAAGAGCTGCAGCAAGCCACGCTACAGATAGAAAGTGACTGCTGATGTTTGCTTTTAAGTACAGTATATAACTTACCAAATCTCAGATTAGACTCTCTGTAGGTCACCTCTCTGCAACCCCAATATCATCAAACAACAACTCATGTTACTCTGATCATTAAACATTACCTAAAACAATGACCTTTAGAGCCAGGTGTAATTTTCAAGCAAAATTCATAGCAGAACAGAAGAGATGGGTACAGAAATGAAAATTTTAAATCAAATCTCAACCTTAGTTACCACTACCCCCTAATTTCTTTTGTCTCAGATGACACTGCATCCCATTCATGAATCAGTCTGATGCGTGAAATCTTCGAAACCATGCAGATATACTACTAGGCATCAATTGCCATTACTTTGCCAATGAAAGTTAGAAGATGAGAAAGAGAAAAAATTAGCCAAACCAGATCTAAAATAACCATAGAACATAATTTTAAATTTTAATTTCCTGTGTAAATATTTCTAGCTGGAATATGAAGCAGGTCTCTCAGAAAGCCAAGCAAGAGAACTACTTAATTAGCTAACAGTTGTCACAGTGGTACCAACATCTGCTGTCAGACACAGTGATTAAATCTAGACTTATTATTAACTATAATGAAGAAAAGTCAACATTACTGAACATTATCATAGGCTCTCTTACACTGAAAATATACACCTTTGCTATAGACCACTTCTGTCCCGAAGGCTTTCATTCTGATCACCCATCAATTAATCCAACTACGTTGGCAAGACACTGAATTTTTTTTTCCCTAAACTTGTCACTCTACCACCTACTTTATGATGAGTTTTCTCTTCTGTGTTCTTCAAATAAAAACTGGCTCAGACTGTTCTTTTCCAACTTCAAAGGCCAATGCTAAAGTTTTGAGACTGATCTGAAGATCCTGATCTGGTATCTAGTTTAGGTTGTCAAGATGGAAGGATTTGTCCTCAGGTATTCCAAGAAACCTGCTGTTTTGTTTCCGAGAAAAATATCACATGATGGATGGACAAGCCACAGTGAAAACTGAGTGATGCACATGAAAAGAGCAATCTAATCTAACTTCACTCCAATTTGAAGCTTAGGTCTATGTTATAAAGGAAAACATTCAGCAGTTTCTTGGAAGTTTTTCCTATTTTCACCCAAATAAATAACTAAGTTAATTCAATATTACACACAGAGTGCTAAAAGAATACTCATATTACAAAGCAAGTACTACAAAGTTAAGTTACTCCTGCAATACTTAACTTTGCAACGCAGGTTTGCAATACAGCTTCCCTACACAGGTGTAAAGTCTTCAGTTATATGATTATACACATTTTGAGAACAGAACCCTCAGTCACTGCCTGCAATGGGTAGTTCTTGATGAGCATGCAGCTGTGCTGAACTCTGGGTCATAATAATTTTCAACTGGTATTTGCCTTATTTACCAAAATCTAACAAAATACTGCTTTTTCAACAAAAATACTCATTTCTTCCTGGCCTTTTAAAATAGTAATAATAATGATGATGATTATTATTACTACTATTCCTACTCCTATTATGCTCAGTACTACTACAGTTAAGACCTTTTTTTTCAATACTGTGTATCTTCAAAATATCAGTGACTCCAGAACAGCTTCAAGTGAATCTTGCAGTTACAGTAAACTCAGCATTTCTGTGGTACAGATCCCAAGTTATAAAAAGCACACAATTACTGGTCTGATCAAAAAATCGTATTTAAGTGATTACAGAGGGCCACAGTGAGATAAACAAAGTCACAGAACACAGTTTTTTATTCCTCCTTAATTCTTTAACGATGAACATCCCTATTCATTCTCCAGCCTGTGCAGAAAAGGTGATAAAAATCCGGGAGATGACGACTACCCAAGTAGTGCATGTACAATACTCTATGTACACTCTATGTGGGCAGGAAGAACAGGGTTTGCATTTGCAGAGGCAATTTAATCCCAATATTTTCTAATTGCTTGACTCCACGATCCTAAAGGGTTCTTTCAATACTTTTGAATACCTTTCAATACTTTCAGTACTGTTTGGTTGTGTAAATCATCCCAGGAGAAAGCGTCTCATTTAAACTGCAATCTCCAGCTTATTAGATATATTTGATATTCAAGAATCAGGATTCAGTCATGATAATGAAAACACTACATGAAGAAATACATCTTTGAGAATAATAATAAAGGCAGTGTTCCACTGGCAATGACTTTTATAGAAATGCAATATTAATACAGAGTAATTGAGGTTAGAGAACTTTGAAAGAGTTTCTGTAGATAATGATCTATAGTTCTTTAGGTTTCTTTCCCCAAACATTCGATTTTTCCCCGTGTTTATCTGAAAACTTCTTGGGCTTAGACTCCTGAGCATACAGCAAGCTAAACTCTGAATAAGAGAAACCTTTGAGGAGCATAAAGAACAAAATTCTTACTTGATTCAGCTAGTTTGGAGTAATTTCCAAAGCAAGGCAAAAAAATTATAATTTCTCTCTCCTACTAAAGACTGCGGATGAATGTTGAGAAGATCAGTCCTTTAGAGCTAGCTGGAGCAACACAACACACAGACAACATTTGAAAAGTAGATTACCTTTTGAGAACATACAAAAGAAGGAACTAGTGGGAGGAATAGCATTGCATCTCAAAGGAGTGTGTGATTAAATTTTTTAAAAGTTTTTGAGCAGTAGAAAGAATAAAACCTGGTTTGGTATGAATTTACATCTTCAGTTTGATATACATACTGATTCTTCAACTTCTAAAAAGATGCAAGTTCACGCTACAGTCTTTTCCCTAGCAAAGGTACTAACGTGCCCTCTTTTCCTACACAGAAGTAACTTCAGGGTGGCCTGCAATTAATTTGGTCAACTTTGCCAAAGGCTACCGGGAGGGAAGGTACCCTGAAAAAAGAAGGCACCCATCTTATCTCCGAAAGAAACGAGGTTTGTGGTGTGGTCAAGCTGAAAAAAAACAGTTGTGTAACGCTGCTGGAGACCAGCAGGTCTGAGAGAATAAAATATTACAGGACTGATCTCCTAAAGTATGGTAAGCTACAAAATACCAGCAATGGGATTTATTTTTATTTTTCCCTTAACAGTCAAGAATCAGACCGCAAAGAGCGCAAAGACTCTAAGCTACTTTCAAGATAACTTGGTGTGCCAGGAACCCAAACCACTGAGAGGAGGAAGTGCTCCAGTATCTCCTGGGAAGAAGCCTCTCCTGCTTCTCAATATAAGACATAATAAGAGTAGCCTGGGATCAATGACCACACAAATAATTGAATTTAGTATCCACATAAATGGATTCCCAACGTAAAGCAGTGCTGGAGGTTTCAAATGCCAGGCATGAATATTTAAACAGTTTTTTTAAAGATGTAATGAGAAGAAGTAGCACAGAACATGTCTGGGGAATCTTAAGACTCCATAATTCCTACATCGTCTCCTCAAACAGTGTCTATTGCTAACACAGGGTAAGTCAAAAAAATAGATGGTGAAAGCCATTAGAAGTGCACACGGCAGAAGCAAGTAAATATGAACTCAATCACATTAGAATTTCAGAGAAAGAAGCAGTATCAAACCAAAACACACTTCTTTGATGAAGAAATTAAGTATGATTATCACAGGGCTATACAGAATCAGGGACAAAGTAAGAGTATTGCAGAAAAGACGCAACTGTCAAATGATTTAGATTAGATGCATAATTAAAGTTTTCCTTTTATTTAAAAAAATACTTAGAAAAAAAAAAAAAGAAAATAGATATAAACTACTAGCTAAGAAGCAAGAGAAGGTAAACTTAATACATAAAAGAATATCATAGTATCTACATATAAACCAATCCAGATCATACACGTTTATGAAACTGGAGCAGTGAAAGCAAACCTAAACTACCTTCACAAGCCATTTGTAAAAATTGCTGAAAGATCAACTGGCATCAGAAATGTGGATAGATGTAGCATTAGTTTGCAATCAGTTATGCAGAAAGATGACAAAGTCCAAATCTGGAAATTAAGGAAACTTCTTTAATGTAAAGTTAACGCCAACACCTTAGAAATTAAAACCATACTTAGAAGCAAAATAAAGACACCGAAAAAAGCAGAAAATGATGAACTACAACCATTAACACTGATGACCTTACAAGAATAATTCTTGCTAAACAGCTTTTTAAAATATCTATAATTAACTTACGAAAGGATAAATTCTTTATGAAAGGAAAGAAGTCTTTCCTTTGCCTGAGCAAACATAACTGTATTTGTATACAGAGGCAATACAACCGCATTTTCGTTAAGCACATGATACTTCCATCTGCCAATATCAGGCATTGAAAATACCATAATTGCCTTAAAACTGTCCAAGCGACTTATACACAGTGGAAAACATACAGCAGAGAAGCTGGAAGTAACTATGCTACTTCTAATTTCTATGAAATGGGTTCATCCCGTTCCTTGGCAACTACACCATTAGCGACATTAAAAGCATGGACGATTCAGGACAGTGGGTTAATGTTTCCTCTGTAAGATTTCCTTAATACACATTATTATGCTCAGACCTCAAGTAGTATAACAGCATCAGTGACAGAAATGCATTAGCAGTTGGGTAACATGCATCCAAAAAAAAAAATGAAGTTTTGAATGGTGGAACTGTAACTCTTTTCTGGACAGTTAGCTATTTTGGTAATTAAATATCTCTACATTTTATATATATCATCAGGTCACATCAATGCTTTATTTCCTGCTGGATTCTAACACAAGCAGACTTGTTACCACTTTTTCACAGAACTTGCAGGAGAAAATAAATAAGCCATTTCAGATTTATTATAAATATTTGTTTGCAAAATACCATTTCTCCAGATAAGCTTAATGTTGAAGACTTAGCCACACCTCCTTTTTCTTTGTGCTCAGTTTCATCTGTTGAACCATCAAAACACAAAGGCATCTACATCTCTTCCCCCTCACGGCATGAGAGAATTTTTACACCAATAAATCAGTCCCCATCTGTCCTGCCTGTACAGCAGGGTCAAGCAGCAGCAACAGAGCAAACGAGAACTGGAGGGGAAAAAGTCACAGTGCTGAACAAAGTGTTAATTTTTATGGATTTTGGGCAGAAACTACTATTATGGTTTTTTTCCCTAAGGTATGCTGATTCTGCAAACCGGTAAGACTGTATTGTTTTCCATTTTTGATGGGAAAATCAAATACATCCTATCTTTTCCTGCAACCTGTCCACCCAGCACATTCCAAACTGGTCACTGCAGCAGAAGGAACCATTTTATGGAGATGAGTTAGAAAAAGGCACCTGGACCACGAAGAAATTGAGCCAGACCATTAGCAGTCCCTCTGCCCAAAACACAGTCACTCAACTGAATAGATGTGCCCCTTCGGGCTTTTCTCTTACTCATTATTTTCAGAATCATTACTCATCTTAAACTTCTGCCTACATTATAACCAGGAGGAAGAAAGTGTTTATTTTACCTTCACAAGACAGGCCATGAGAAGTGACTCCAGAGAGGCTCTCTCTACACACGTTACAGAAGGTAGGTCGGGCGTGGGAGCAGGCGTACCAGTTATGCATCCCTGAGAAATGTTCCACATTAAACTGTGCGGTCTAGTAAAGGAGAAGTTAAGACAAATTTGCAAGTACAGAACACAGCTACGGTGACTGAAATTACCTACGGTCCCATATTACAGGGGACGACAACGCAACGTTCACCAAAAGTCTTTTCCAAAGAGCATTTAGCCTGCTTTCCCTTCAAACTTCTAAACAAAAGTGTGATAATAAGCTCTCATTTTGGTAAAGGTCTTAACATAAATCTTGGCTCTGACATTAGACACGCTTTTCCCACTAAGGAGGGTGAATACTCCACTTCTGTGTCCTGTAGCTTGATCTGTTGAGCTAGAACAGGTTGCACCAAGAGGGATGTCAACTTACCTCATAGTGTTCTCTGGACTGAACGGACTTCAGAGAGCTTATCCAGTCCTCCATTTCTTTTCTGTTTTCAGCACACAGTATTAGCCTCCTAAATGGAGTGATTATCTGAAAAAGATAAAGCACTCTGATTAATCTAAATAGTAAAAGCCACGATAGACTATAATATTAAACATACTCTTTCCTGCAAGATGATGCAAAAGGAAGACACACCCTAGATCACAAGATATTAAACGCCTAAAAATATTTTCTTTAATACACTACCAACAACGAAGGAGTTTTTGCTTTTCCTTTTTCAGTTCCCAATATTCTAATCAGGCTTCAGTATAGGTCTTTAGAAGCGATATTGATCATTCTTCCTTCTCGGCTCTTTCTCTATGCACTGAGATTTAAATACTCAAATGCCAGGCACTGAAACTGCTAAAACAGCCGTTCTGGAAATTGCTAATTGACAATGATTGCAATCCTATTTCATAACAGCATTATAGCAACTGCAAGGTCCATTCCAATTGCCAGAGACAAAAACATATCAAAAGCAAAAGCCTGATAGTCTTAAACAACAACAAAAGCTTTCATTGTATTTCTCTATCTTGTATATTGGTATTAAATTTACACAAATTTAAACATACATAAATTTAAACCAGAACTTTCTATATGAAACTCAGCATAAGAACACATACAAATCTTTATAAAAAGACAGAAAGAACAGAAGCAAACAGTTGAAATCATATCCTACTAGGACGGTTGAACGAATTCCCGGAATAAGTTGATGCTGGGGAGTTTTCAGTGGTCTGGTGTTGGAAATCTGAAAATGCTGTATCTAGGAGGTTCAGAGATATAAGCTGTTTTGCCCCCTCCCTCACCAGTAGAAAAATAATTAAAATAACAGGAAGGCACCAGAAACTATCAGCTAACTCCCACTGAAATTATTTTGAGCACTGCACTAAAATAGACGATGCAGTTACTTACAGAGCAAAGAATTTTAAACAAAATAAGTACATGAAATTAAAGGAAAGTTACTTGTTTTGTTGTAGAAAGTCTGAAAAATAAAATTAAATCCTTTATCAGGCTTACGCAGAAATCTATTGCATAGCCTGCACCACCCACACTTGCAAATTACTTCAGTGAAAGAAGGAAAGGACCACCAAAAAATGCTAGCTCTGAGTCTTGTTTTAAATGCTACAAGCTAGGTATTGTAACAGTCGCACAATATTAGAGTAACCACTTATCTACAGCTGCGTTCACTTACCCAACCTCTGCCGTAAATAGGCTCTAGCCTCGATTTGTCCTCTCCACCTCTTCATTAAACTGAGCTGCACTTTAACGTATCTCAGAGGCAACGTAGCTGAAGTGCAGCAAGCTGCAAGTCACATGGAGGGGAGGCAAAAACCCCTGTGGGCTTGTTGCCTTTCCCCCCCCCCCCCCCCCCCTTTTTTTTTTTTTTTTGATGTACTGGCTTCACATGGAATGGAATAGTTTCTGTTTTCTATTTCCTTCAATCTTGCTTAAGCTTTTTAATAAGGTTTATTAGTAGCTCTCCGCGGCTTCTTCCTAAAGAACAGTTAATGCAAAGAGCAATGCTTCTCTCATTAGTTTGGAGCCAAACAGACGCTTTATTACTTCAAAATGTTTTTCTAGGCCAGGTCATCAAATGAAGCCCAGAAAAGCCATTAAATCATAATATAACCCTGGCTCCAACAACAATCAACATTCTGCTGGAATTTCCAGGTTTCAGTGGACTCAGAAATCTTATTTGGGCAAATACACCCACCGGATTATTTCCTATTATATAGCATATTATAATACAGATTAAGTAAGGACAAGCCCTCCCAAAACTCTTCACTTCGTGTTCCTCTTTCCCCCGTGCTCGTTACTGATGTTAACCTGGAACCAGATGCTGTGAAATGCCATGAAGCAACAACAGCTGCATTTACAGAATCACAGAATCTTCTAGGTTGGAAGGGACCTTAAAGATCATCTTGTCCAACCGTCAACCTAACTGACAAAAATAGACACCCGCACAACAAACAAGGAGCATCACCATCACTAAACCATACCTCCCAGCACTACATCAACCTGTCTTTTGAACACCTCCAGGGATGGTGCCTCAACCACCTCCCTGGGCAGCCCATTCCAATGGCTGATAACCCTTTCAGTGAAAAAAATTTTCCTAATATCCAGCCTGAACCTCCCCTGGCGCAACTTGAGGCCATTTCCTCTTGTCCTGTCACCTGTGACTTGACAGAAGAGACCGACCCCCACCTCTCTACAGCCTCCTTTCAGGTAGTTGTAGAGAGCAATAAGGTCTCCCCTCAGCCTCCTCTTCTCCAGGCTGAAAGAAGTCCTGAAGTCTCCTGGCAATCTTGATCTTTTCAAGTAATATTTATTTATATTCCTCACGTCTTTAACCTGGATCACAGCAATCCCCTGTGGGTCCCCCTCCCCTCCCAAAGTCAAGGCCTTAGTTGAGTTGTCCACAGATAGTTACCTAGTCCCAATGGAGATGCCTTTTGGTACCCAAAGCATCAGCACAGGGCAGGTAAATATGACAGAGGACTGTATCTCCCAGAACTACAAATAAGCCAGGTGGGACACCAAAGACCATCTCAAAAGGCACTACACACCCATGTATCGGCAACCAAATCATGTCACCAGGCGTTGCTAATTAATGCATGTAAACGTACCAGAAATTCCTGTATCCCAACTTCTTATTGAATTCAGAGCATAATAAATTTAATAAAGCTCAGAGCATTTCAACAGTCTAAAAGTTAAATTGTATACTGATGATCACTTCAATGTAGGATCAATTACCATTACTGCTGTAAAAATACAGTGTAAAGTTGGAAGACACACTATTTGTAAATACAGCATCTATAACATGATGATTAAACTATATATTCTCTTTGATTTACATATTTTTAACAAAAAAAATCAAGAAGGTGGTTGATAACATGAAAAAAGAAAAAATGCATTATATGCAAAAAATATGGACATTGCTTGGAATTTTTCTTAAAAAAGAGAGAGAAACAAAGCAGTCTGTTTAGATTCTCATCTATTTCAGCCTACAAAATCATGGAGAATATGTACTTCTTGTTATTTATTAGATATTTCACCTTACAAGAGAACTCAGGGAACCAAGGAAATGATTAGCAAACCAGAAGTGTTTTTTCCTAAATGTAATAAATTATTTAGACTTGAAAAGTATTCCTAAAAGATGCTGAGGAGACCAGAAGGATAAAGGTCTAAAAAAGGTACTTGACAAATTCATCACAAATAGATGCATCATATCCTATAAAACACAATATCCGAAACCTTCAACTTAGCAAGTCCCCAAAATCCAACGAGTGAACCCTGGGAAGTTACACAAGAGGCAGAATCACTGTCCATGCTCTGCTGCTTATACTCCTTTTTTGAGTACCTGCTACTGTGCTGCTTTGATTCAGGACGGTTTTATGAGCTTTAGGCAAACTCAGTATGGCTGTTCTTGCTTGTCCTAAACTGAGAATTACTTCCTATAACCTTTTTATTTACACAGAAGGCATGCTTTCTCATGGATGCTTACAGAAAGCTATGATTAATTAACTTAAGTGGGATATTTACAGTGCATTCATTAAAGACAACTGAACCTGTATGCAGACATAATCAACATTAAAATGGATTTAATTGTCCTAAAGACTACTGACCAGACATGTAAATTTGGATTTTACTAGTAATCTTGTCTCTTTGCATGTACTCATATTCAAAGTCCTGTATCTTTTCTCCTACGAACCAAAGTCAGTATCTTTTCTTCTATTATGTATTACCTTTTTTAAATTAATGCTCACTGCCCCAAATATTATTATTTATATATCACTCTGAATATGCAGAACTCTCAGCAGACAAGAAGAAATCGTATAATACAGTGACAAAGGTAGTGTCACAGGGGCTAATGGAAGACCATCGAAGTAACATAAGAATGAAGGAACTCTTAAATCTTGGAGGAACTCAGGTGCTAAAGGTTCACACGCTGACAAAGCAGAAGACAAATCAAGAAGAATGAAGACAGACAAAAGGCCTTAAAAATAAATAAATCAAGCAGATTTAATTTAGAAGATTAAGTTACTTCGAAAATTTTCACCATTGTCAAGTAGCCAAGAAGAAGTCATTGCTGATTTTGGAAGAGAGAGATATCAAAGCCAGATACTGCAGTATATTGGAAAGCAATGAAATTGAGGTAGTGGGAATAAAAAAATGTTTTTAACGCAGTAGGCATAGGGAAAGAGTGAGCATATAGAGTCTTAAATGTTGAAGGCAAACAAAACAAGTCCCAAAACATCACAGGGAATAAAGAATGTTTAGAGAGGAAGAAAAATGTCCCACTACTGCAATATTGTTCCTGTTCCGTTCAAAAAAATAGGGGGCTTTTTGAGTGGGGAATGAAGGAGAGAACAAGAGGACATTGTGCAGTCTTGCCACATAGGTCTTGCCATAAATTGAGATTTTCACACATGTTGATGCTGGAATAATTTAGCTTCTAAAACCATACACATACTCATCTATATGTGCACACACATATGGAAATTAACTTTCATGAAATTACACAGTCAAGTTCTGGGCCACTACTGCAACTTTTCTTTCAGACAGCACCTATTAGGAACAAGTTTAACATATTGAAAGGAAACAAAATTGCCATTAAATTCAGCATAAATTTGAAAGCACCTTTTGCTTTCAAAGGGGCTAACTTTATCAGTAACATTCTACATGCCTTCAGTGCAATAGGTTTAGACTTTTGATCTGTAAAATCAAATCACAAAGAGTTCAATTAAAGCCTATTGCCTAATTTTTAACATATTTCATCATATCAGCAAGATATAGGAAAATACAGTTCCCAAAGCTTGGTGGCTACATTACTGGTTCCCTTTACGAATTCAAAGAAAAATGCAGAAACTACATTTGCTAATCAAGAAAATAATGGTCTACATCTCAGCAGCAGCACAGCAGCTATTGTAAAGCACCCTGCTTCCTGCAACCTGATATTTGCATTAAGGCACCTTCTGCTGCTCTAAACTATTATCAGGCATTACACTAATAGCACTTTGTACGGCCGATCTTGAATTGACTTAGTAATG